GCAGACAGATAAGCTCTGGAAAGTGGTGGGTGGCCACACCAGTGGAGTTTTGGTGCGAGAAGGCTGCCCGTTAACGTCAACGGAACTGGGGCGACTGAGCACTGGGTCGCTCGTTCAGGAGTCGTGCCGTGGGGCTTCAGAGCAGTCTCAGATTGCAGCAGGGCAATTGTCATGAGTCCTCTGTAGGAAATCGAGATCATCAGCGACAGACTGCACTACCAGAAGCTGTCTGGTGATGGCCCTGCTCATGGCTGGATCAGCCTGCGATTGAAGGGCAAGGATTTGGTAGCAAGAACCTCTCAGCTCCAGAACGAGTTCGGTACCAGCAGCAAGGAGCAAGAGAGTCTTGAATCGGGAAGGCAGACGCAGTCAGCAGCCGTGTCTGTGGGAACATTGAAGATCCAGGTTACCGTGGCATCTCGAATGAATTGTCGGATGCGGCATTCTAAAGTAGCTCGCGGCTAATGCCAGTGCCTAGGTCCGTCTGCACGGTAGCAGCCACAACAGCTGGACTTTACTGATGTGCTGCACCTTCAAGGATCATGCTCGGTCACCGAAGGCCGCTGAAGCTGGAAAGCTTGACAGCGCAGCTTGCTGCCTGGTCGGTGGCATTCCTGCCCTTGGATCATGGGACCCCAAGCAAGCTCCGAAGCTTTCCCAGCGACGTGTCGATCGTGCCACGACCATATGGGAAGGCTGTCTCGATGGCATAGAGGACGGATGACCTGTTATATTACGCAGGGACCAGGGCAGATTTCAGATCTAAGTAAGACCCCTGGCATGCATGCTGACACTGGGCAGTGTTGGAGGTGGATGCTGGCGAGCAGTACAAGTACTGCATATTCGACTCGGTTAAGCATCTTTACGTCTGGGAAGAGTCGGGTCCAATGCACTTTTGGCCGACATCTGCTGCCGTGCATGACTTTGAGGCACAACAGGCCTGGAGAAACAGCCTTCCGTGGAAATTGTGTTTTTTCACGAAGGTGCTTTGGAGTTGGGTGCAAGATGGATCAAGAGCAACATGTGTTTGTTCGCGAGCAATCCGCAACACGGTCACATTCTACATTTCTACATGACCGATTGTTTTCAAAGAGTTCAGTAAGCGGGTACAAAGTTGGTCTTTTACGGACTTACCGGGTGAACGTTGTATTATCTGTTAGAGGATTCTTAGCAGTGTCTACAGGAGCAGGCTTTATCATCTGCAGCTGCGGTTGGTCTGCGCAAGCCGCCATGCACGGGCCGATTGTCGGTCGACACCAAGATCTTGTTCTCCGATCTTCCGACTCGTGTGAGTCCATGGCCAAAGTTGCGTGTTTGATGGATTCTTTCTACTGTTTCTGTTGTCCGTCGCTCTGACTCAGCAGAAGATACAGGCTCCGGAGGCAAAGCTGTACGCGGCCTGCGCACTGACTCTGTGATAGTTTGCTAAGCAGGTTTTCAGCACTGTACTGTCGTAAAAATCAGGAGAAGAACGCGTCCCCTGTGTTTTCTTCAAGATCTTGAGCTTGCAAACTTGTTGACCAGTTTACAGAAAGCAAAAATTGTTTGTAAATATAGATCGGTGAAGAATGCCTTAGACGGCAGTGCGAGGAGGGTGTGCGCAAACAAAAGTCAGACATGACCTTTCCAACACTTCGCGAAGTGTGCAAGCAGCTAAGCACGGTCCTTCCGGCAATGGGCCTGCTGCGACTTAGCCGTGTATGTCGTCGAGAAACCTACGCCTTGCCCGGAAAGACTGCTTTCTCGCAAAAGCCGAACTATATGACTAAACGCAGCAGCATGTTCCTTAAAACCAGTCGGCGATGATGGAGGCATGAGAGATGATCTTCCTATCCTAAACGCAGGTTTTTTTGTTTCTTTCGGAAGCGATTCCTGCATCCGCTACTTGCAGTCGTTTCAATGAAATCGTTGAGTGGGGTGCATGAGTATGAGTCCGCGGTCACGGGATTGTGTTTGGTTCATCTGTTTCCAAGTTCCAGCCAAGGTCATGTTGAATCATTGTATATGTAGCTTACGCAAGTTTTGGTTTTGACGTCCGCGATGACTGCTAGGGGTGTCTCATGCCCATCTCTTTCTAACTTACGTTTCTGTTGCAGGTGGAGGCGGCGCCAGTGGCAACTTGGCCACCACCAACCACTGTACCGCGAAGCGCTCCTGCGGCCAATTTGGGCTCAGGCGATGCCGTCTTCAAAACATATCACACCAAGGTTGCGAGCCACAGGGACGGCTTTGTGGTTGTAATCTTGTCGATGTCCTGGAGCAGGTGCTGAAATCTGGATCCCGTGGACTGAGCACAAGAGGTCTCCCGAGGCCGAAACGGGGCCTCTCCAGGCTTTCTTCATGTGATGCGTTTCGTGGGATAAGGAGCCAAATCGCAACATTCCGTGGAAGGTGCCGCACAGCATATTCCACGCCTTCCACTGGCCGTTTGCATTTACGTCAGACCGCCTTCGTGACATAGGCAAGTTTCTCTTGTGTAGGTATGTTTGTCGGTTGTGTAGATTGCAGAATGGCAGGCGAGCTGGGCTTTGCAGCTGTCCAAATCAGCCCAGCACAGAAGTCCAAAGCTGGTGGGGAGCTTGAAGCAAACGCTCGCTTTGCCCTGCTCCGTTCAGCGCCTTTCAGAGCATGAACAACCCACACCTTTGTCGTGCTGCATGTCGCGGCTACTTGTAGTTTTGCCTAGGTGGCGAGTGGTGGACACGCTACCAGCCCCAAGACTATCTAACCATTGATGGCTTGGGATCTTGGGAGGATTTGCGCTATCTCTGCGAAGAGGCGGACAGCAGAGGAGTTCTCGTCGTTGCCGATGTTGTATTTAACCATATGTTGGTGGCTGCCTCATCTTGGACACTTATCACGCCTTGTTGCAAGGGACACTGCGACAATTTGCTTTCTGTGTTCAGAATAAGCCTGTTTTTGCTCAGGTTGTGGCCAATTGCCAGGAATGGAAAAGTGCTCAAAAGTCTCCGCAGCAGCTTGCTGCACTGAAGCGTCGCTTATCTGATGCTGTCGGTCCAGTCTTTGATGCGGAAGACTTTCAGTGGCCGTGGTTCGAGATGAGTGGTGAACATTGGGACAACGACAATCGGTACGAGGAGAGCTTGATCGGTTTTGATTCGAGTGTGTATGTCTATACATATTTATGAATCATCTGACGATGCAGGGTTGGGGCAATGGCGAATGGTCTGAGCTGCGGCACTGCGAGAAGGTGGTCAAAGTTCAACAGCAGCACTTGCAGCTGCTTTTGGATGCAGGTGCGAGGTGACAAGAGATGCTGTGGGCGGGATTCTCCTCTGGTGCGGCTTTGCATGTAGCTGAGGTGTGCGTGGCTTGCGCTTTGACGCAGTCAAGCACATGCGTCCCGAGCATCTTGCTGAGCTCGTGTCTTACGTTCGAAAGTCTGGACAAGTGCGTTTTGCGTACGGTGAAGTTCTGACGCTCGGCCGGAGCTACGGAGGCCTAGTGCTTTCGCACATCCCGTGGCCGCATGTCACTGTGTCACTGTGTTGTTGGCCCTGGCTACCCAGGAGCGTGGATGCCTCCATGCATTCGGAGTACATGGAATCGCTGGCAATGCCTTCGACGGACTTTCCGCTGACTGTATACATGAATCATATTCTGATGAACGGTCTGGACGCTGCTTCCGAAGACGTTGCTGCATCATGTGCCAAAGCTGCACACACAGAAGGCTGGTGGTCTCAAACGAATGGAGAAGTACCTTGTTACCTTAGTTTTGCGGAACAAAGCTTTTTAATCGTTTCTGATTGCCATGACCCAATGGAGAGGTCTGGAGATACGACATGCAAAGCCCGACATGCGTCCTGGTCTGTGCGGAAATTCCATTCGTTTCGCTCGAAACCATGACACCGAACTGGCCTCAGAGAACTGGTTGTAGGGTTTCTTTACTTCGTTTCTCATGTTCTCAGCTGGGATGTGTTTCTGCGTCCTTGATGTTTCAGTTTGCTTCGTATGATACTTATGGGCATACAGGAAAACTCAGTAGCAGCTCTTTCTGGGACGTGCGGAGCAACACCTTTGTCTGTTGGGAATCGTGCTGCGCTGCTTGCGGTGGTTAAACGAAGATGATTGACAGTGGGTGCTTTGTGATGTTTGCAGGTAATGAACCCTGGCTCATTCTATGGTCTTAGTGGTTCTTGTCTCTCCGCGCGGACCTGCTGGGCTTGGCTCCTCTCTCTTCATGACGGGTCCGTTCTCGTCTTCCCGGAGGACCTGCAGAGTGAGGCCTCGTGAGCTTCGTGTTTCGATGGCTGATGAACTCCACCTGCTGCCCTAGTGCTGCACCTGCCGAGTGTGTTTCCCTCACAGGCAAGTGCGCCTCTGATTTGCAGGGCTCTGCGATTCCGTGCAAAGCTGGCTGACGTGGCAAGCAGTTCTGAAGTCGGGCTTCTGTATTTGGACACAAGCGGCCCCCCTGGATTCCTGATAATAGCTCTGAGAAATGCGGAGAGGCATGTGTGCGGGTTGACTCTGATCAATTTGCAGCGCACAGCAGTGAAGGTGACATCTTGCTGTCTTTTCAAGAAGTTAGGCCCTTGCATTTTCCAGGATGAGCAGGGTAGTACTGTGAAGATACATGATGACATCTTGGAGACTGGCTCAGGAGCAGTCTCAGTTCAAGCTTTGGATGCTGCGTTTCTCGTCGCGACGTAAGGGTGGACGGAAAATGGAACATTGTGCTGCCAGCCCCGGTTTCGGTTTAACAGTTTAACAATGTTTAACATCAGAGAGCATCATGCGGCTCAAGCTGCCGGGTAAATCAAAGGTCAAATGTGTGTAGAGTGTAAGAGACAATTTGAAGTGACCCGATGGTATCGATCAGTGTCACGTGTGTAACATGGAACGCATCCCTTCCTTCACTTTGCTTGGATGCCGTGGCTTGAGCGTGTAGTCGTAGTGCGGTCCTCTCGTCAAGAAGAAACACAGCAGAACCCACTCGGATTTTAAAATCGCAACAGATGTAGTGGAGTCGGTGGAGCATGGCTCCAAGCTGTCCGTGCAGTGCGGCGGGCTCAGGGCGTGTCAGTGTTTCATTCCGTTTGATCTGCGCAGCAGTCGCGCTTGTAACACAGGTGGTCCTTGTGCTGGCGTTGCGGCTATGTGTGGTTCCGGCACGTGAGGGAACTCTCGATGATGAGCTTCGCTTTCATTTTGAGCTGTCCACCCAGACGCTTCCAAAGATGCTTCTTGCTCTGTGGCCATAGTGCAACAGTGTCTCTGATCCCAACTGTCAAGCACGTCCTTCCCAGTTGCGCTACTCGATGCGCCGCAATGACGGCCTCGGACAGAGAAGCCATCAAGACCATGTACAGGCACTGAGCTGCAGAAGTGTCGGTACATGTCATGCACAACTTTGCATGCGCACGGCACAGGGCAGCGGGATGCGATGTGGGTGCACATGCCCAAGCACCTTTTACAGACAAGCTTTGTGAGAGCTCTCTGCGAGCCCTGATGCTTCTACCAAGGGGCCTGGAGCGCATCCGGTATGTGCCTCCTCGATGGAACAGCAGGAGCCTCATCCCGGCCCAAGTGAGCACATCCGTCCCTTGTGTGCGGCCGTTACTAGTCATGGTGTCGGGTCTGGCAGCCAGGCATGATTCCTACCTGTCACCCCAAACTTTCCGATCGTATTTTCAGAGGGTCGTTTGAAGCGGAGATCGCTTTTAAAGGCACAGGGTTCGCGCACTTTGGGTAATCCCGAGACATGCGCTCGAAGACTCCTTGCAAATCAGTGTTCGAGGACTCGCTCTCGTGTAGAATCTTCTAGATACATCATGAATGAAGCCTCGGGGTCGCTGAGCGGTTGCTCTTTTTGCCTGGTTGCCTGGATAGTAATGGGAAAGCAGTTCAGTTTGGTTGTACGTCTCGGAAAGGCCAAGAAAAATTTGGAATAGTTTCGGATTACCTGAATGCGTTCCATTCTTAGTTTCCCCTCAAAGGTTTGGGATGCTTGCCGCGCCGTGCATGTACCAAACAGTTCACACACCCACATCTTGCATCTTGGTGCCGTGTGCTGCTTGTGAGCTCGCATCAGCTCTAGCTGCTTGTGTTAGTGCAGCATAATTAGGCTCACCATGTTTGAAAGGACCCGCTCGTGTGTTTTGTCTTGCTTCTGCCTTCTTCCTTGCTTGTGTGTTTAGATGCAGCGGCCAAACCGACAGGTACTTTCCCCCTTTCATTGTTCTTCCGTCGCGTGCTACCTCGGCCACAGCGCAAACTTCACCTTGCTGGGCAGCCGTGCCCTGGCCCGTCGCCGGTGCAATCGTGGCCGCCGTGGCCTTCGCCTCCACAATCCGCGTTGCCATTGCGCTCGTGTGCCAATCGCCTCTGGAGTTGTTGAGTGCCGGTCCGGAGACGGCTCTTGGAACTGTTTGGAAGACACAGAGCGGCGTCGCCTTGCGGGAATCGCATGCGCAGCAATCTTGAGGTGACAAACTGGGCGATAGGGTGGTTGTGCAGTCTTCCTTTGTGTTATGCATGGGCCAGTTTTTGATCATTTTCCGCATTTTTCACCGATCATGGGCCGTTGCTTTCTCTGACCACAACATTTGATCGGTCATACAACCTTCGTGAGGTGGTGCGTGCTGCCAAGGTTCTCGAGCTGCCATGCTAATTGGGCTTCTCGGGGCAGTGGCACATTTGCTCTGGTCATCCCGTGCATACCAAGCTGTATGTGCTACTACACAACAGCCGTGTCACTTATACTTGTCCTGACAGAACTCCGTACACAAGGCCTGGACTCCCTTGTTGCGAGTGAAACAAAACGAAAACAACCAGTACCAGTTTCAGTGCCACTGCCGGTACCAGTACCAGTACACTCGTACCACTGCCACTACCACTGCCATTACCACTGTCACTCCACTACCATTACGGTGATGCTTTTAAAGAAGAGGAGGGCGGCCAGCCTGCCGTGGATGCAGAAGTTAGTACAAAAGTTCTCTTCAAAGCCGTCCGCATGTTTAAAAGCTAAAGTTCAGCTTTGTAAATAGACTTGGCGGCCCGGGTCCGACGGTCAAGGAGGTAGCATTAGGATTGGATGCGGACGGTAGAGCCCTCATTACGGCGCGTCCCAAAAATCATGTAATGAATTCCAAGCACAGCGGAAAAGTACCAGCCTCCCGAGCAGAAATCGCGGCGCGTATGCACTAGGGAGGATATCTGGCACACCGCCCAGCACTACGAAGTCAGGCCAAGCCGCCCTATTGCAGCGCAAGCCCTAAAAGACCAAAGAGCGCACCAACAAAACAGCTTGGGTTAAGAACCCCAAGACGGAGCAGGGAAGCCGCAAGTTGCGCAGTACTACAAACGTTGTCGCGCACATGTGTGTGCTCAGCCTTGCCCCACGGTAAAAGAGCCCTCACAGAGGCATTATGCCACCGGTATAAGACCAAGGCCTTAAATGGGGCAGGCAGGGAAGAAAAGTAGGGCATAGGATTGTGGATTCTTATACACAGTGTCAAAGAAAACGCAACTACAGACTATTTGCTCAAGCATATTCCTCAGGGATTCGGATGAGGCGAACTACGAGCAAGACCCCACGCAGCAGAGATTCAAACGTCGCTGCGCCACAACGCTACCCTGAGCCTATTCCTCTAGCGATTGGAAGAGGCAAACTGCAGGGTTAATCCCGCACAGTCATCACACTGTGCCCAATCTAGACTTGGTGCTTCCTCAGGCAACCCTAGCTCGACGACTCACTTTCTCGTGAAGATTCGTGCTCCACAAGCGCCTCTGCGGTCATCTCGCCACCTGTCCAGAGATCGTGGAGGACACCATCTTCCACAGTGTCCTTCAAGCCTCCAGTCAGGCCGAGTCTGAACCGAGCTCCCAACTGCATGGCCTCCGCAATCCGCACCAGTCCCTGTGGCTCCCACCTGGTAGCCAAGTGCAGCCGCTCCCGGCGAGCAGAGTAGAACACTGCGCTACCTTCCAGCTTGCGTAGAGCAGCTACGACTTTTGTCTCGGCCAGGAAACCAGTGCTGCCAACACCTTCCACCGCCATTTGCAGTTCGATGTCCTTCAGCACTGCCATCAGTGCCTCGAGGAGGAAGTCGATGCCCATCTTGACGGCCAGCTTCCCGATGAAGCGCATCAACATGTATTGTTTGTGGTAGAGGTTGTTTAACTCTTTCTTGGTTGCCTCTTCTGCTACAGCTGCCGTGGACAGTCCACAAGTCCTCATGGCCTCGGTGGCAAAGTCAATGTCACTTGGGAAACTCTCTCCTTGACAGCATTGCGGGTTCCTACGCAGCAGCCATCTTGAAGAGGACCTCCAACTCCACATATTTCACGGGATTTGCCGTCTCGTGACCTCCTAGATGCATCTGTTCATCTGCGGCCCGTGGCGTGCCCATTGAGGAGGGGCACTGGGGTCCCTGGCTATTGGCCCCCGCTGCTGGGGAGCTTGATCCCGGATGCGTACATGTGTACAGGTCGCTACCACTACGACTGCCACTGCCACTGCCACTGCCACTGCCACTGCCACTGCCGCTGCACTGCCACTGCCCGGACAGGAGGGGAGAGGTTGGACGGGGTTGCGTGGACAGGCCGAAAGTGTTCTGCATTTGGATTAGTTCTCGGAGGCGTGTATATAGGCGCAAAGCACCATATCGGGTGCGAGGGCGTATATGCCGGGGAGGCATGGGTTTTCGGGTTCCCCGCTTGAACTTGTTGGTTCAGGGTTCGCTGAGGGCTTCCGGAGCCTTGAAGAGAGATCAAGAAAGCCGGCTGCAATTGCATGCGTAATTATTTTCCTTAATTCTTCAAGGAACTGTGCTTTCAAACGTTGCAAGCTACATTTATGCACTGGTACTCTCGGTGTTCTCGCAGGAATGTCCTGTAACCAGGAACACGTGGGTTTTTGCCTTGAAGCCTTTTGCTGTCTTTGAGGTTGTGCGTTGGTAGCTGTGGCTCGGCCCTTGGTCCAGTTACGTGCTGCTTTGTGAGACTTCGATTTGATGGTGTTTTCGCTGTTTCCGTCTGCGTTTCCGAGTGGGAAAGCTGTAGAAAGCTCTCGTGCAGATTTGATGCGGCAAAAGTTGCACATGTATCGATTTGAAAACACCAGAGCTGCTGAGATCAGGCGGGGGACAACAAGACATGGTTGGAGACTTGGACGAAAGTGATATGGTGTCGATGAATCTGACGCCCGCTTCGATGAGGCTACTTTTCTACCTGGTGCATTTGGGCCAGGAGCTGCGCCGGCCGCATGCCCGCTTTATGAAAGTTTGAGCGGTGCATAGACCGTGTAATCCACCCTGCAGGTGGGGTCGGAGCCCTTCTCGGTGGCCCTGCAGGTGGGAAAAAGTGGAACAAGAAATCGACCTCTTCCATGATTGTGCTTCCATCGTTCTCCAGGGTCCGCGCCCGCCCTCCCGACTAGCAAAATATTCCAGGTGCACCGCGACTGTGCAGAGCGCTGCGCTTCCGAAGGTAGGATTTGTTTCCCCAGGGGTTCTGGACCAGGTCTTGCAAGTCTCGGACAGGTTCCAGCTTTTCTCCGAATTGTAGAGACTGTTGAGACCAGCAGTGACCAGCACTGCACCGATTCACGCTTCAGCTCGGGTGGGTTCGGCCTCCGACAATGGCAGGCATTGCAGTTTCAGCGGATTCCGGTGCCGAGAAGGCCGTCGACACGCTTCGAAGATGCGGCGTCGTGCCCTTCAGCTGCTGTTCATCAGTTTATGTGAGTGCATCGCGAGCTAGGTCATTTGTAGCAAAGACACGGACAACAAGCATATCAAGCTTGAAGTGTTATCCGACTGAACTAATTCCGCGCCAATGAATTTGGAGTTTGAAGCATGAGGCTATGCGAGCGGGTTAGCCTAGCTTGTGCCGTCTCCAGCATAGCATTGCGCGATGTTGCAATGCCTAAGCCCAGGCAGCTCCTGGGCGCTTATGATTTGACGGCGTTGGACCGCTTTCAGAAGGCTGCCCTGCTGTCCTAAAACAGCTTTGCGAAGGCGGCGTTTGACGCAGTCCAAGTCCAGGCTTTCGACCAGCTGAAGGCCAAAGAGAAGGCATACAAGAAGCTGCTTGACACCAAGCAGCTTCATGATGGGCGCTATCAGGCACAGTCCTGCAGCGAGCTTGCGAAGGACTTTCCTGACCGCGAGCGGATTGATGCTGTGGCAGGTTTATCTTCCGTTCGCGAAGCCATTCTCTTCACGCGAGACTCTAGGGGTCAGTGACTTGGTCCTCGAGGCTTGGATTTGCATCCTTTCGCGATTAAGTGTTCAACATACCAGTGATCCCTACGCAGTTCGAAGGTGCTGCACGCCTACTTCATGACAAGTGGGGGCAGCTTTGGCATAGACCATGTCTCGGTCGTTGGCCCAGATAGCAACTTGTTCAAACTCCGTGCCAGTTGGATCGCCAAGGTGTTGACATCTGCCAGTGGAAGCAAGCCGCCAGAGATGCTTGCTCACAATCCACTCTCTTGATAAGACTGCCCAAGTACAAGGTGCAAACCAGAGTCTGCATCCCGACGTGCACTACTTCAAGGCATTTTCAGAAACCTCCGGTGTGGTGGTGACCTGCCTGGCTGCAGGGCTTGTCAGTCTCGGTGCACACGGCTTTGCACGACATACCTTCATCTTTGGGGCTGCGGTCTTACCCTGGATTGCATCTGCTTTCCATACATTGTGCCACAAGTCAGGCCGACATACTTCTGTCCTTGCACTGGCGAATCCTTGACTCGGGAGGACATATCAGACAAGTCATGTAGTTTGCAGCATGTTCCCGGTCATGTTCCCCTCATCAGCAGCTGAAGGTCGAATAGCGTACTGTAAGAAGCCACAGAGTGATGGCCGCGAGTCCGCGACACTGTGCTTCTTCGTTTCGGCATCGCTGCACGGACGGTTCCACAGGACTGGCCAGCCAGTGCTGCCATCAAAATGCGCCAAGGCTGCACCTGCGACCCGGGCTGATACTTCTGTGAGCATCGGCCATGCATAGATCATAGAAGCAGAGCTCGGCTGCACGACACGCGTGGATAGTTTGTAGTCCTGACATGTTCTGGAATTCAGGACAATCTTGAAGCGGAAGGACTGATCTGCCCTGAGACCAAAATGGAGGACGCACCCGTCCGTGCGTCAGCAGTACCAAGGTTTGGCACGATCATTCGCACCTTCCTTCACCGCGCGTGGTACGGCATCGACCCGAGATTTCGCTGCTCAGGTGAGCCACATGCTTGATTCGCAGGGTACAAGTTTGAGGTCCTTCGGTTTTCTATATCTCTGCAAGTCTTGTTGCTTCCAGCTTTAGCTTTCACCAGGCCCTTGCAAAGGCCAGCCGTTGGTGAGTCGACTTGCTTCGTGAACTGGGCAAGGTCACAATCTATGACGGGGCAATGTTCCACAAGGTTGGGATTCACATTTGACACAACAGATGTCGTCGAGCATGTTCGCGCAGATGTATCAGCATGTGTGGGCTCAAAGCTGCGAAGTCTTGCCATTGGATCCTTCCACGCCGAACGGCGAGAAGGTGCATCTTTGGCTTGCCGTAGATTCGATCTCTGTGTAGCAGTACGACTCTGCCTTTTTTCTGGTGGTTGAAATAGCTTCTTGTGCACACCTTCCCTCCTGGCCAAGTTCATGGAGCTTCGACCATATGGATCTGTCCGACGCGGCGCGAGTGAATCGCGCCTCCTGCTTGCATCAGGGCATGCTCAGTTAAGCGGACAGTTGCAGAGCACTTCAGGTGTTCCAGCAGTGAGGACTAGCGGAAGCCGGGTGCCTGGAGAAGAGCCGTATCGGAGTTGACAGCAGTCATACATTTGTCAGGCTTCGAACCTGCCAATCTTCCCGAACGGAGTGCTTTAGCTCCTTTCGGAAATTTCTTGGGAGGTCACGACCCTTTCCAGGTGCGCTTGTTGTGTTCGCAGGGAGTGTCACGCGTACCCGACATCTTCATCAGGACTTTAGCAACGCTCCTTTGGGTGGAGGATTAATGTCGCGATTCGATCAGATTGCAGCCGTGCACACAGCAAGCTCGACTGCAATGCAAGCGTGCGAGTCGTTCGATTATCAATGCTGAGGGAGATATGCTGAAGGGATTTCCTGGGAGCCTTCAGATGAATGGTAGCGCTCCAGGCAGGTCACCGGACGGAGGCTTCGAGCCTGAACCTTTCAGCGGCTTTTGATCTCGGCAGGAGCTGCTCCAGGAAGTGGCGCTGGCTGCTACTCTTGCCAGACCTTCGTCATGTCCTCTTCTCGAGGTGCAGACGGAAAGGCCTGCAGCCGTGCTTTCCCTGTGCTCAACTTATGCACGAGAGTCACGAGAAGATGCGGAGATCAGGTGCATACGGAAAGATATTCTTCTTCGGATGTTGGCAATGCCCAGCATGGAGTCCGAGAGGCGCAGCATGCCTACTCCAACTCTTCCACAGGTGTGGATACTTGGGCTTGGACATGCTTGGACAGAAGATGTTAGTATCTGCCACTTTCCGAACACTCAAAGAAAGCTGAGGACAAGATGGGTCTGGAAAGACACCTGGGCGAGAGAGCCCGGAAAATGGTGAAGGCAACCTGCCTCGGGGTGTTTCTATGGAGTGCTTCTAGCCAGCCGCCAGCCCAAAGGCAAGCAAAGCTCGAGACTTGTTTGTGATCTGACAAGGAGCGCAATCGCTTCACTCAGGAGATACGTGCTTTTCTTCGGCCCGTGAATGGTCTAGACTCTACACTTAACGATCATCATTATCATGCTTCAATGTTTCGTTCAGGACGAGAGATGTCATGAAATGCTCCGAGGCTGGTGCGCTGGAGGTTGTCATGGAAGTCCTTGCATTAGCAGACATATTATGCCATACATACACGGATATATGTATGTACGTATGTGTGTATGTATCTAAGTAGGTACAGACTTTGCATGCAGCCTCGCCAAGTCAGACCCTCTCTGCAGCGGTTGAAAGAAGGTGTGTAGGCATGTAGGTATGTAGGGCTTGATGCGAAGAGGTCCCACGATAGTAAGGCGCTTCAGGAAGGTTCTCAGTCTTCGAGCTCCGAATGCCAGCACCATCAGAATTGTGCTTCGAGAGCGCAGGCATGGACGAAGGTGGCCGTGATCACTTCGACAGAGATTTTGCAGGAGCAACGGGGAAGGCTTATGTTGTTCAACGGAAACCACCGACATCGGCTGTGATTTTCTGGTTGGATGGACACAATTCAGGCGTGCCACCTAGCAAGGAAGTGCTGAAGCACGGCAGCTTTTCGCTCACATGGCAGGCTACATGATTCTTCCGCTTTCTTGTCTTGTTCATACAGTGCGCCGTGTTGGAGTCGGTCTAAACAGAATGAATGGACCAGTCCAGCCAAACTGCTCTTGCTGAAATGATTGCGTCCCAGTGCCAAGCAGTCCTGGAACCGTAATGTGCTTGGCTTGGATTGTCGGAAGTTCGCATCTCATGGCACGACCCTCCCGACGGTCTGACTGTTTTGCCTGACAGGTATGCAGCAGGACAAACATACAGGTCTCCTTTCCTTGGTCCTCTCCTGACAAGCGGACCAGGAGGGAAAGGAAGGAAGCAGGAAAGGAAGGCAAGGAAGAAAGAAGCGAGGAAGGAGGGAAGACAGGGATTCAGGAAGGACTGTAGGAAAGAGGTGCGCAGAGAAACCAGACAGGGGAGTCACGATGATAAATAAAGCAGCGGGAGAGACAAGCAAGACACACGGGAAGCAAGAACGATCATGAAGAACGACGAAACATATGCATCTAGTCACGACCGCAACGAAGGAACACATCGCATAAATTATGCACATCCCCTGCATAACCCAAAATACACAAAGCCTCTCGCATCAAACTGAAAGTAACGGAGCCAAAAGCCAAGGCAACATCACGCATACAACAATAAGCCAACAACCAAGTGTCAGGAATCTTCTGGCTTTCCAGGATGAGCCCAAAAGTGTTACAGTTTTTGTTTGTTTGTGTGGGTTAGTTTGTCGTTTCTCGGGTTTGGGTATCAAGCGTGGTCAAGCTTAGTCCCGTAATCGTTTTAACATTCTTGACCATCTACAATCTGCAAGCCTTGGTAATAATGCGAGCCTTGCCCCAAATGATAGTTGTAGCACGGAGAAGTAGGTGCAATGGGAGGGCTGCTGTACATGTTACATATATATATATATATACATACATAAGTTTTCCTATACACACATATGTATATGTGTTTGTACACATAACTCACATTACGTATATGTCTGTGTGCATGCATGTGCACAAAAATTGTAATACATCTGTATATGCATATACATATACATATATATATATATACTTGTATACATATATGAACATATGAAAGTTCGTCTGTGTGTATACATATATATCCATACACACACCTGTTTCTGTGTAGTTGCATACGTTACATGTTTGTATGAGGATGTGACACATGTACACGATTATACCCGTATATGTACATATGAGGCATATACGCATGTTGTATTTATGCACTTATGTAGATAAGCGTATATGTACACATGTACCTATGTCTGTGTCTATGCATGTATGTATGTATGTATGCGTGTATGTATGTATGCATGTATGTTTAGGTAAGTGTCTCGGCCCGAACCAACGGCCCCTTCTTCGTCGCCCATGGACGGCGGCCTATTCCGGCGTTCGGTTGCTCCTTCTTCTTCTTCTAGTGCTGAGGATATGTCAAGCTCTTCCAGCTCCTCTTCAGACTCCTTTTTTTCTGGGGCCATCGATCGTGCTGAACAGCGCAGAGCAGAGCAGCGCAGAGGAGAGCAGCGCAGATTGGAGGCGGCTGCGAGGGAAGTGGACCGAAAGAAGCGCCTCAGTGGCAAAAATGGTTCCAAAGACGCCTTCTTGTACTTGTACGTCTTTGCGAGCTGTTCTACGACCAGCAGCTCAGTGGCTCCGACTGCGCAGCTCGACAGCGTATGGGCAGACTGTCTGCATGGCGCCGACGGTCAGAAGGCGACACGGCTGAGAATGTCATCAGCTACACGTGCATGCAGCTGGCTGGGGATCTCTCCAGAAAGCTGCGACAAGATGCCGACCTCCTGCAGACTTGTTTCCAAGAGCCCATCCCGCCAAACGATGTTGGCTGGATACAAAGTGTTGGCAAATGGGGAGAGCCACCAAAGCACAGGATGGCTCAACGCATGGAGCTGCAACTGGCAAGATGTCTTGCCCCCAAGCTGCACCTGGTTGATACTCCGACACTGGTGCATGATGCGACAACCTTTGCGGGCTTCAACTTGTACCAGGACCTCCTGTGGGCAATGTGGTTTCTGTTGTCGAATGAGGAAGGATACGAATTCATGCAGTGGTTCCAGCGGATGCCTACCGGAACCATGGTCCCGGACAGCACGGACCCCGAGCCTCCCACAGCACAATGTGATGTTTTGCCACCAGAGGAAGATGAAGCGGCTATTGAGCAAAGCGAACCGGCCTCTGGCTCGCGTGATGGCCCGTGGGTCGTACCCAGGACCCAGGGGGCCCTAGAGTCCATGCAGAACAGGTGGCCACTTGGAAGGACTAAGACGACGAGGTGGTCCACATACAGTGGTCGGGCCGCCCTGGTCCCAAGTCCAAGGCCAATGTGCAGCCGATGGCCCAGCAGATCCTCGTGGTCAGCCAGACTGCTCACTACAAGTCTCATGAACAAGGCACCTTGGCTCACATTGGAGACACGAGGGGTGGGGGAAGAGTAGGCCAACTCCCTCCTGAAGTCCCGCCAAACAGATCCCATTCTGTACAGAAGCAGACAAAGCTTCTTGGCCCATTCCTGATTGTTGCAACTAGCCAAGCTATGATCTCCCCCAGGAAGTATCCGAGAGTGTTCAGGTTTCGATTTCATAAGCCCTGCAATAGCCAGCCCGACATAAACCATCACCCTGCTTCGTGGTCGGTCACCAGGAAGGCCGCACCTGTGGAAGATTCTGCAGCCTCACAGGCCCTGTTAGCAGAGGACAGCCTCGAAGCTAACGGCTGCCTATCAAGTAGCCTGCGCGTCTCATTCTCTGTCCTGTGTGTGTTCACGGCAGCGTGTGTTTTTGGAGAGTGCTCCAAGCCACTCCGAGCCCAGCTTGGTCCACAGTGAAAGTGCTGCCACGATCCTACCGGCGACGGCGCCTCACAGCCCGCGCAATGAGAGGTTGCGAGTGTTGCCTGTACCGGGCGGCCCTAGCAGTTGCTTCAGACAACAACCATAGGATTCAATCCTGTAAACCAGTTCACCATACTCCCTGTAGACCTCTAGCGCGATTCGGGTTGTGCTTCCCACTTAGTTGTATCGTTATTCAGGCCTTAATCACGCCAATTGCAGCAACTGGCAGCCAGCCGCCAACACGTTCGCACCACGTCCCCAGCCATCTCTGCCCTTGGCCAGACGGCCGTGCGTTTGTCACAAGCGAGGAAACGAGCCTTCAAGAGAGCACCAATCAGAGCCTTAAGGGATGGTTCTACATGGCATAGGGGCCGGTCACACACTGGTTCAAGTTTGGCCCTTCAGTACACCGGGAAATCCTCGGTTCCTCGTGCAGTGAAAGCCCAAGTTCCAGTGGGCTGCTTGCGCTTCGGGACATGGAACTCTGGCGGCCTGCCGTCACGCAGATATGTGGAGGTCATGTCTTGGCTTGAAAGCCACACAAACAGCCCTGTGCAAATTATGTGTGTTCAAGAGACACACTGGGCCCCGTGATCAGAGTTTTCAAATTCGAGGTGGCACTGTGACTGTGTGCATTCTGGTTCTGGCAGCAGCTCCGGTGGGGTTCTGTTTATCATCAGCAAGCAGGTATGTTCTGAGGCGCACCTAAGGCATGCAGACGTACAGGTCAGGCCGGCTGTTACACCTTAAGATTGAAAGTAATCCTCCACTAGATTGCCTGGGAGTTTATCAACACCCTTGGAATCCGAACCATAAGGGCCTCGGCGGTTCTGCAGCCCAGAGGGTACAGGAGCTCAGTAAGCGACGGGCTGAGGTCTGGTCCAAAATTAGTGGTTGGGTAGCTGCCATTCCCAAAAGAATCTCAGTGGCAAGAATGGGTGACTTTAAGCCGGTCACTTGTCATTTGCCTCGCCCCAGCCTCCAAGGAGTTACCCACAAGCCTCAGCCCTCCTCTAAACACATAAGTAACATGTTGGCTGAGTGTCACCTACATGGTTTGCTAGAAGCCCACACACTTCCAGTGCATTTGGACCCATTGATTCAGGAAGCGTGGAGCAAAACCAGCAAACCAGGACCCGCCGTAGGCCTGAATGTTCGACCTAGTGATCATATCCGGCAGGACTTGCAACCCACCCTGAAAGAATTCTGGGATAACAAGAGATTGCTGAAACAGTCCTTCGAGGGCGTAAAACGGTTTCACTCTCCCCTGCTCTAGCACATTGCGTCGGCATCGACAGCCACTGTTCGCGCCCATGTTCCTTCGGCGGTGTTGCGGTCTCTCACCCTTGCTATGGTTGACTTTTACCATTACCCTACACGACAAATTCCATGCCTACATACCTAAGGAGCGTGTTTCGGGCTTTGCAGATGACTATTTGATGACGTGGGAGCTCAGTCATAGCAAGGAGTTCTATTCAGCCATCAATCAGATTGAACTCATCCTGGCAGACCTAGACAAGTCCAATATGCAAGTCTCCCGCGACAAAACGGTGATACTAATGGCCACTCGTGGCAAAGAGGCGGCAGCCGTACACAAGGCCTACACCAGACGCATCAAAGGGGTAAGGTGTCTGCGATCTGGCCAACCAGACCAGCCCATCCAATTGCCCATCAAGACTGTGCATGGTTACCTAGGCACTCGCATTGGCTATGGCACTTTTGAGCGAGCCTCCACCACCCATAGGTTGAATCAATCGTCGGCAGCTTTTCGCAAACTCCACCTGTTCCTTAAATGCGCTGCAGTCCCTGTACGCAAGAGGGTGCTACTGTGGCAATCGCGCATCTGGCGGTGGCTCCTACGGCGTCACAGCTGTAGGCTTGGACGAGATCAGTGCCCAGCAACTGCGAGCTCAGACCTTCAAGCAGCTCCGAATGGTAGCAAGAAGCCCAGGTCACATCACCAGGGAAAGCAACCAACAGCTACTCGAGCGTCTAGGTTTGCTGGATCCGATCGATGCATGGTCTTCTGCAGAACTCATCTCACAAAAGTGCAACCTCCATCGGTGCACCAATGGTGGAATTCAGTCCATGGTTCTTTTTCAGCAGTGGTCTCCGAGTCAGGCAACAAGCACCGGTTGCTCACTGCAGAATGTGTCGCAGAATGTGTCGCGGATAGTTGCCGTCAAATATGGATGCGAGGTGTGCGGGCAGAGCTTCCCCAGCTTCCATTCCCTAAATGTTCATAAAGGGAAACAGCATCCCGAACTGCATACCTTTAAGGAGAGTAACCCAACGATCAAGAATAGGCGACGGGATGCTCTACATGTGCATTCTGCGGCAGGCCTTCCACAGTGCCAGCACTGTGGCAAAAAGTTTATGGATGCCGTGACCAGAAGGCTTGTCCAGTGCTTTTTGCCCCGCGGCCTTCTCCTCACCCAGACCCAGAGGACTCTGCCACCGGTACGGTTTCCAACACAGTAGACCATAATCCCGAAACTGGCTCAGCTGAGCTCTCTAGCCAGGTCAAGTTTGACACGGTCCCTATCCTCCCGCAGCTAGCCAAAGCCATACGAGATACACAGTGTCCGCAAAATTGCCCGGAATGTTTCCAATGGGTAGCTAGCCACCTACATCACACGACATGCAGTGCAGATGCATTCCAATGTCCAAAACCATCAGCCTGCTGTTGAGGCCTGGGTCCAAGCTCACACGAGCATTCAGAAGCCCTGCGAGTGGTGTGGCCACAACATTAAATCATGCACTGTTTTATGGATGTGTGGTCATCTTCTTGCCAGGTTTGGCACCCTTGCGGATCGGCGTCAGACTTCCTTAAGCGATGTCCTCGGAAGGAACGGAAGCGCAGCAGCAGCTAGCGGATGCCAGGGCAGAGCTGGAGATGTTCGGGGGTGCGATGGGGAAGAAGCTCTCGGAAGCCTCCACAATGCTGCAGAGCCAGACTAGCCAAGAGGAAATGGACCTCGACCACTGTCGACAAAAGCGACAGGATCACGACACCACAGGGCAAGTGGAAGAAGGGGGAAGCCAAGTCCCGTGGCAAAGGGGACTTCATCCTCCAGCCCGCGACAATTCGCTCTGCCATCCGCCTCCAACCCGGAGCGCGTCATCAGGGCCAAAACAGGTCTTGGGGGAGCCAGCGCTCGTACGGAGGAGGCTCAATAGCCCGGCCCTGCCTCAGACTGGAAGACTTCCAGTCTATCCAATGTTTGGACTGTGATCTTCCTGCAGCCGGAGCCGGATGCGACTCAGATGGCACAGGTCACAGGGGCCGGGCTAGTGGTGGGCGAAGCCTATCCATTCCTTCACTGGGGTGCGAATCACACTCAGGCCTCCCAGACTCCGATCGGTCACCAGGAAATAGTGGATCACTTCAATGCCATCCTCCGACTGAATGCCCACCAGCAGGTGGTAGGGCGCTTCCACGCCCTTCACAAGATGGTGGAGAAGCAAGCCACGGACATCGTGCCTTTCTCCTTGATCATTCAGACGTCGAAGAGAGCCTCCAGATGTACATCTACATGAAGAAGCTGTCCCGATGCAGCATCCGGCACCTGATTGCAGCCTCGATGAGGCCGGGCAAGCTCGGCCGCAGTCCATAGGCGAAGGCCATCGAGCGGATGATGAAGGATCTCGACAGCTTTCAGAGGTCCAAGTCCTTAGGCTGCAGCTAGGCAACAGGGCCAACTTCTGCTATGCAAACTCGGTAGTCTTAGGGTTCCTCTGGTGCCACACCCCTTCATTGCATACGGCCCTGGACCCAGCACGTCACCGCAGTAGAACTCCCGGGCATCCTTCCGATTCAGCTGAATCGATTTGGCCAGCAAGGTCAGAAGATACATAATCCTATCACCTTAAGCCCCAATGTTTACCTCCCGTTCTTTATTTGTAGACCATACACTAGCCACCACATCCGCGAGGTACCGACTCGCTGCAATTGTATATCATCTGGGCAGTCATAAGCATTCGGGCCACTATCGACCAGGGCTGTTCCGTGATGGGACCCTGGCACATCTCACTGATGATGGCAGCGAAGCAAGACCCACCACCGACAGGGATGAAGAAATCATGTGTCGCAATGCCTACATTTGCTTCTTAGTCCGGCAACATATGTAGGGCGGTAGGGCGCAGAGATTGCTATGGGTAGTCTCACATCACCAAGTGTTCAAAGCGGACTCTCCAACTCTTCAGTTCTCCATCCAGCGCTGATGTCTAAGTCCTTTGTATGTCGTGTTGTTATGTTATCCTTATTGGTCTGTACAACTGGAAAGGAGACAGTTCCCCATCTTTTGCAGGCTCCACGGGGCGATTTAACACCGTGCTCTTAGGACACCATGCACTGCTTAAAGGGCGGATCACGCCGGGTGGAGCTCAAGTTTTTGTCGTCTCGCCATCGTTTATACATTTTATATCACTTTTCCTGTTGTTTGTTTGTGCTTACTCGTACACCTGCTGCCGAGCCCGGATACTCCCCTGGGGGGGGGGGCCACAACACGTGGCTCGCATCTACAAGATGCCAGCTCTCTCGCTGCCCGCAACGCAAGACTCCTCCGTGCTGCGACGGAAGAAGAAGTATATTTGCGTTTATTTACACATACATTGGGTATTTTTATATATACAGATATATTTGCATATACATATATACACACATATCTAGGTATCTGCATTTATGTATTCGGCCTGTATGTACGTATGTATGCATGTAGTATGTATGCATGCTTGGTCTGCATGGTTTTTCATATAAACACGAATATGGTATATACATATTTGTGTCATATTTACCTGTGTGTGTATACGTGTATGTATGTGTATGCGTGTACATGAGTGTATGTGTGTATAGGTGTTTATGTGCTTAAGTATATGTATATGTATTACTTGTACATATATATATATACATGTATGTATATATGTATATACATGTGTGTATGTACATATGTATACGTACATACATATGTATATATACATATGTATGTATGCATGTATGTATGTATATACGTATATACGTACATATATATATATATATATATATATATGTTTTTTGTATATACGTATATATGTATATATGTATGTATATATATATATATATATGTATATAACGTTGTGTGTGTATATATATATGTATTCTTACATGTATATATCTCTATATATATATATATATGTATGTCTGTATATACGTGTATACATGTATAAATGTTTGTATGTACATATGTACATGTGTGTATATGCATATTTGTATTCTGTATTTCTGTGTTTATGTGGACATGTATGTAAGAGAAGCTTTTGCGTACTATTTGACCCGTGTCCTCGTCAAATTTCACGTCAATCGTTTATCTAAACTTTTTGGGTATCAAAACATTTGAGACTTTTACTGCTAATTTTTCAACCTTGCGATCTATTGAAAGGAGTTGATTGAAAAAACATTTAATAGTTTTCGAAGCTCTACAACGGCTTAAAAGTTTGAAATGTTTAACTCTTGTAGAATTTTAAAAACTTTTAATGCTTGAACATTTTTACAATGTTTAAGAAATTTCAACCAACACTTTCAACTTTTCTATCTCTTAAAGCTTCCAGAACAGACATTTGAGAGGGATCGAGTTTTAGTTATAGAAGTTTGTAAGCGTTTAGAAGATAAAGCACGTTAATAATTCTAAAAGCTCTAAAGGTTTCGGAAGTTATACAGGTATGAAATCCATTTGTTTTTGAGGTGGACCTCGACCGACGGGAAGAAATATTTTCAATAATTTCAGCCGACTTGGAGGCCCAATAGAAAGAACCAATCCAAAAACATCCAAAGCCGCTTGTATCCAATTCGCCACCAAGATGACGGGTGATTGAGCATCATCTAATCCCGGAAAGTATGCAAATGTACCGGTGGATACTAAATATGAACACTGAAGCCTCGGCGGATTAACGGACAAGGCCGAGTGCCATAGCTACAGTAAATGATAGCTTCAAAGAGTCGGTCATAAAATCATATGTGCTAGCACCTGCGAAACTCGGCTTGGAAAATGTGGCTTGGATTTCGTGAGTTCAATCTGCAATGCTGGGCCGGTCTTTCCAAACCACGTCTTAGTCGTGAGTCTCGTCCAGGAATCCGTCGTCCTGTGTTTGTCCTGCACTTCCTAATATCTGTTTCTTACCGAGCTATTCTCAGCATTTGCGTTTCGAAGATCTGCCTTTGCCAGGGATTGTAGCCCCGCCCCGAGACCACGGTCGATGGTGACAATTGGCTTTGTTTCTACTGTGTTTTAATCTGTTCCTGTACAGCAGTCTCCAACGGCATTGCAGCGAATGCGCTATACTTCTCTGAGTTCTGTCATAGGTTCATCAGGATACTGGATACATTCCAGAGATTTCGGATCAGGATGTCGAGTGAACACTTTAAGGCCCACTTTCAGCCTCTCAATGTTGTGTGCATTTCTGGTGTTCAAGCAGAGCTTTGCATGCGATGATACTTTAGAACTCAAGATGTGGCAATCGGCCGCCGTGGAACCTCTTTACCGAAATGCGGAAGATTGCCGAAGCATGCACCGTGCTTTCAAAAGTCAGCGGTGCATATCGCCAACAGTGCGAGGCGCCCGTGAAATGACACAGTGTGGACACAGCAAGTGACAACGAATCTCTCCGAGCATCAGGGATGAGTTGGTGTTAAACTGTTCCCTTTGTCGACTGCTAACATCGGCCCTGCCTTTCTGGCTCCGCCTCTGGCTGTGGAGGACTGGCGAGGCACTTGCCAGCCCACGTGCGACCCCAACAAGCCGCACTCCTGCAACCACACTCAGGCAAGCGCCTTCTAGCATCTTCTGGCTGAACAGGTTGTCATGCGCAACACCGTGTTTTGCATTTCGTTGCCTCGCGCCTTTCAGGGCGGTCACTGCCTCCAAATCGTGCTTTGGCCGTGCCGAAGCGACGATGAAGCAGATTCTGCAAATGAGTGGAAAGCTGCAGATTCTGCAGATGTGTCGCTTGTATCGCATGCTGCACAGCACTGGCACGTAGAGCACTCATACTGAGAGAAGTCTGTACAGAACAACCGGCCAACTGCAGCTGACACATTGACATCCCAGGCACGGATAGTGCCATTCTGCATGCTGTGTGTTTTCGGAGGGTGATGCATAGCCAGGTAGTTTCATGCAGAACGTTTGTGCATGGTGGGATGTTGCTTTCGGTATCCGCAGGTAGTCGGCTGCATGCTTGCACAGCCTTCGCGTCTAGAGTCTTGAGTCTGAGCTACTAGTCATTCGTCCATCGCACGACCTCGATGGACTGCTCAACGCAAATCCGCCGGGCTTTGTAGGCTTCTGCTTCCGCTCTTGCAAATCAGTATCCACGGCAAAGGTTGTCAAGGAAAGGGCTTCCAGTCACAGGTCAAGACTCGACCGACACAAGCCGGGCTGTTGTTTAGAAACCCATCGTGCTTGCAGAAATCCTGGGCAAAGAAGCTCCGCACAGCTCCGTGAGAGATGCTGGAGCGCTAGGCTCATGAGCATTCCGATACGTGTTTGCAACAGGGGCTGGAGAACGGCAGTGGGCGAGACAGGCCCGTCCTGAAACTGGAGGTGCTGCAGGACAATGGTAGCACATGGCAGCACTGTCCACTGCAAGAAGCACCGTGGCAGGTGGCCGCAGAAGAATTTGCGGAGCGTCGAAACTACATCCAGCTGGCAGCATGCCGAGACAAACCCAAGCTTCGCCATTCGTTTGCACGTCACGAGAATCCGCATTTCTCAAGAAATCTAAGGCATCTGGTGCAGCCAAAAAGCAAGTCCGTCGCTTTCGTGAAGCCATGGGCCAGCGACTTGTTGGGAGCAGAGCGCAGAGTCTGCAAAGGTTGATCAGCACCCTGCAAGGTCCCCCTCATTTTGGTGAAAGCCGACGACAAGAGTTGTAGCCAGTGTGGTCAAATCGACCGGCATGCACCAGGGTTATTGTGTACTGATGTGTGATTTGTAGAAATCGGATGTTTGGCGAAGATCGTCTTGATTTGCGTACCCGCACGTAGTTAGGTGAATTCTGCGCCATGGACCACTCATCACAAGATGCCGTTGGTGAGAAGTGGTTTCAGCACGGCAGGCGACTGTGTCTGATGCTTAGCTTGATCTGCAGATGTCATTCGGTTTGTAAGACTCCAACGTAGCCTGCAGCTGCTTCTGCTTTCCCATGTGCGGGTTGAAGGTTCTTATCACGACGTCAGGAGGGGTGTTTTGGTAAAAGGAAGCTGGCAGGTCCATCATCTAGTCACCACTTCACCGTTTTGGGGCTTCCCCGTCTCCATGGGCATAGCGGGCAGCAGTGAGACATGCCGCGTCCCAAGACGCGTTTACTTGCCACGGCAATCGTTTCGCGAGAAGGCAACTCTGAGAAATCAGCTTTCGCACCCGAGCCAAATCGTTCGTGCCGCGGCACCGGCAACCACCAGTCCGAAGACATCTCAGCCTGTGGCCGTTGTCAGACGTGTTGGATCGCCCGCAAGCACTGCTCGCAGATCGTCGAATGTTCTCAAGGCATGTCTAGTCGAGGCTTCTCAACCGGGTCTGAGTGGCCACAAAGGAAGACTTGGACCTGCTGAGTCCGAGACCAAGCAATTGGCTTCAGTGCAATTGCCCGTCGCGAAAGCACCAGAGCCGCTTCAGCCGTTGAATTCCTTGAATTCTTCAATGCGGCGACGTGCATTGGCATTTCATGGAGCATCTATGGCCGCGAGGAAGGAAGAGCTGCTCGACATGCATCCGGATCGACTGGCCATTCAGCAGGACATTCTGCGAGCCAGGAGCGTGGGACGCATTCTAGCCATCTGCACAGCAGAAGTGTTGCAAGGCATGGACTCCATCAACTTGGTAACTGCCCTGCATAGGGTTGCGAAGCTGTATGATGGATCGCACATGGCCCTGGTTGACAATCCTCGCTTTGAGCTGATGTTGACTGAAGTATCGTACAAAATTGACGCTCTGAACCCACGGGGGATGGTCCACGTGGTGTGGTCTCTGGCAAGTCTGCAGTGCTGGCCGGACTGGTCGGGAGACTTGATCGGTCGTTGTGCACAATGCGAATCTTTTACCGGGCGTGACTTGAGCGTTCTACTCGGAAGCCTTGCCAAGTCGAAACCACCCAAACACTTCAAGCAGTGCGAGCAGCTGCAGGAATCGTTGGTCAGGCAGCTCAGCGACAGACTGCCTGAGCTAACCACGTCGCTTGATCTAGCTTGTGCCGCCGCAGCCCTTTCCCGTCTGCAAGTTCGGGATGAGGGGCTTTTCGTTACGATTGCACAGCAGGCAATGCCAGTGCTAAGTGAGTTCTCAATGTCAGACGTTACTTCCCTCCTGTGGGCGATGGCCATTTTGAACTTCACTCACGGTGAGCTGTGTGAGCAGATCCGGCAGCTGCTGCGTCAGAAAGCTGAGAGTTGTTCACCAAAGGAAATAACCCAAATTACGTGGGCCTTGTCCCGTTTGCAGGAAGCTGACGAAGAGCTATTGACTGAAACAATAGCCCCCGTGGTGCGCAGCAAGTTTTTGGATTTCGAGGCTCCCCGAGACTTGTGCACACTAGCATTTGCATTTAGCAATGCGCGTGTGTTTGACGAAGGCATCTTCACTGATTTTGCCCACACGTTGACATCCAAGGTCCGCATCATGAATGCACATGATGTCTCCAGTGTGGTTGCAGCTTTCGCCGGAATAGAGTACGCCCATAAAGGCTTGTTCAAAGCATTGCAGAAGCAAGCAAAAGCCATCACAGCAACATTCACTCCACTACAGATCGCTCGCACTATTCACGGCTTCGGTACTGCCGGAGTCGAGGACACATCACTGTATAGAGGTCTTTTTGGTCAAGTGCTTCAGCAGCGGAACTTGTTGCATGCGAGCAACATCGTCGAAATCTTGATCGGATTGGCAGAGGCTGAGTATGTGCCTGAGGGGCTCGAAGAGTTGTTGCGGGATGCAAAACGGCTCGTCAAATGGCTCGATGGGGCAGAGTGCATCCACGCCTTGCACGCATTGTCTCGACTGCAGATAGATTCAAACGACCTGATTCCCGAGCTCATGAAAACAATTCGCAGTCGTGCACAAGGATGGTGGCGTTGCAGTCTGCAGGACATGGCAGATCTCGTTGAGGCAATGGTTGGGTTGAAGTTGGATGACTCGCTGCTTTTAAACATCTGCGCAGGACAACTCCCACGATTGCTGTCCAAGACCGTCGATACACCGACTTTTCTTCGCCTGTGGGGTGCTTTCGCCGAGCTGCGTCCGCACATGAGGGAGAGAGTTCAAGAGCGCTTGCAGAAGAACCAGCGATTTCGAGATGGCGTGGCTGCTTGTCTCTCTGCAGCTGCAGAGGGCATCCGGGCCGTGAGAGCTTCAGAGAGCTTGACAGCAGCAAGAGCTGCTGCACAGCTGCTCTGTGCTTGTGCTTCGCTATCGTGGGATGAAGCTCCAGTCCCGGATCTGGTGCAACTGACACAGGAGACGCTGGGGCCAGGGCTGGAAGAGGTGTGGCAGCATGGTGAATACCAGCAGTGGTGGCCGCAACTGGCATGGGCTCTCGCCGAATTGTGTTATGACGATCTTGCAAGGCATGTCTTGCTTTCATGCTTTCAGAACTCTTGTTTCAACTCCACGGATGCAACAGGTAAGATGCATTTGGCCGCCGCTGTTGTATGCCTTGGTTTTGCTGAGGAATTTGCAGTTGCAAAGATTCTGCTTGATACGAAGCTCGCAAATGAACACGATACCGGCCGGGATATGGTTTTGCGGTCGCTGGAACTTGAACTGGCTATTGCAGGAAATGATTTGTTGCAGGGGGCCACATTGCCTCATCGTGAAGTGAAGCCATCTGGCCTTTGCAGTGCAGGTTCCCTATATGACTATGCCGACCAAGTTTCAAATACCTTGGTCGAGTTGGCTATAGCTCACGAGGCCAAAGTGCTGGTTGGAGGGTGTCATTATGTACAAGCTGTCCTTTTTGGTGAAGTTGCACTGCTTATCTTGTCTCCACGGGACTTAACTATTTCAGGTTCAATTCTGGCTTCTGCACGAGCGCGCACAAGACAACTGGCATCCCTGGGGTGGATCTGCAAAGAGTTCTATTTCAGCGATATAGAGCAGGCTCTGCAAACGTCTGGAGGCTTGAAGCATTTGCTCGCTCCCTTGAGCGTGGCAAAATAGGCCATCAGGTAATTCAGTCGTTCATTTGCTGGGGATTATGCGGTTTCCCTGTGTTGGCATGTAGCGGTGTCGCCCTTGACGTGTTAGAAGATTCACCTCCTGGCCACCCACTGGACACCCAGCGAGACTGCTCAGACCTACAAAGTGCTAGAGGATTTTTGTGGTAGTAGAAGTTTTCATGCTCACCCATTCCCTGCAAATTGTTGTTGGTTACCGTTTGTTAATGACATTGACCGAATATTTCTCATTAATATGTTGCGAATTTTGTTTGTGACTCGGAGAGGTTGCCACGGGCATGTGCCCGTGACTGAGCACATCTTCCAGAGTATAGTCCAACCGTGCACCAGAACAGAGGACTCACAACGTTCTGAATTCAATTTCGCGACCTGCACTCAAACAATACACGAAGGTGCAGCATGAGACGTTTGGAAGCCGCGTGCACGACAAGCGAAGGACATGGCATTTCGTGGTGTACACTTGCCACCACAGATACAGTCGTAATCGTCTCTGACGTCCGTGCATCTCAGCTGTTGACACGGAGCAATGGCTGATTTGTCATCCCAAGCTTTCCCGGTCAACACTCCGAAGTTTTGGGGGAACGAGAAGGTCGCACACTTAGTGATTCGAAGGGAAGCGTCAGCTGCAGTCCAAGGCTTTGGAGGGCTCCTGTTTTCCAGGAGTTGGTGGCAAAGTGCATTGAGACGGGCTGGATTTCTTCGGAAGGCCGCACCGATGCTTTACCGACCTGTTGCGATGAAGTCTGCGTGGTAGCGAGCAAGGTCCGGCAGTGAAGGATTTCGAGGGCAAATTAGCCGCCAGATGTCAACGAAGGATTCCGTGACTGTGATGGACTTTGCCTGGATCGCCTTGCGGCGGCCGTTATGCCATGCCTGCCAGGCATGGAATCGCATGCGCGAACGGCACGGCTGCGTTGGACATAGCCGTGCAGGTGCCCCAAGAAAGTTGCTCCAGTCAATGGGATCGCATGGCAGTTCTGATTCCAACCTGTCTGCAGGCGCTTGGGCTTGGGCAAGATGATGAGGTGCGGACCTCTTTGGTGAGTTTGGCACGACCAACACACGTAGAATGGCGGAAGGAACAACTTGGAGCTGTGCAGGTGAACTCGACAGCAGGCCGACAAGTGTTTTTCTGATCCGAGGCTCAAGGTCAAGTTTAGTACCATCTAGTTTTTGTTTAGCAATGACATGCTCTGCGCATGGAAGAGAAACTCCGCGGTGAAAGCAGCTGTGCATCTGGTCAGACTGGGCTGAACATTTCGAGTGATGCTTGGCCGAGCCATCTTAGTGTATACCGTTCAACTGTTTCGTCAGAAAGTGGCGAGTGCGGCGGGGCGACTGAACATGTAGCATGAATGAACCTCATGTCAGAGTCAGAAACTAAGGCAGTGGACAAGACCGTGCTCGAACAATCTGCGTCATCTTCAGCAGGTGCTGGAAAGCCGGGTGCAGGCAAAGCACCGCTGTCCCAACGAAAGGCAGTTCAGCGACAGAATTTGGAAGAGGCCCGTGCCTACGTCATGGTGTATGACCAGGTGCAGAAGAAGTTGGTCATGAACGGAACATCAGACAGATTTGTCCATGATATTTGGGGAGGTGCTGCAGAGTCCTGACTGCTACGACAAGACGGGCGACATGACAGTCTCCTTCGTGAAGAAGTCTGTTGAAAAGCTGAATCCTGTCCCGCAAGCATCCTACATCACTAAAGCAGCCACTTTGAATATCCTGTTACTATTGCTCTTTGACTGTGCTGACAGTGCAGAATGTACATAGAAGTGCCTAGCGATCTTGCACACAAACCGGCAGCAAAACACGCTTTGGTGCTTTCACGCGCTTGCCGGCTCCTGTTGAAAAGTCTGAGTGCCGCTGCTGCTGTGACATGATCTCGATCCCTTCAGAGCAAAAACATATGTGTCCACTTCGTCTCGTCTTGAGGTCATCCTGCCGACCTTCTGCATCATCTCATGCATCAATCAGGCCACGGCTGGTTATCTCTGTCCGGTTGTCTGTCTATTGCCCTCCTGCGGTTTGAGTCTGCCGCATCCAAAGCCAGTTCGAAATGCATTGACATCACAGGCGTGGCTTTAAGAATCGCTGCGGACCATCGCGTCCCGCCAATGATTCACGAGGATCACATTCTGTCCCCCTCTGATAGATTCTAGTCATTCTAGTCGAAGGGTTTTCTGGAACGACAACAAATGTATCCCAGCTCTAGTTTCAAACGGATCTTCAGCCGAAGGGTCCAGAGGCCGGTGCTCGTTTGCAGCACTGCCTGAACCTGCGTTTCCTTGAACCACGCAGATGCGTTTGCAAACCTTGCGGTCTCCGATTTTCATATGGTTTAACACAATATTCGAGATGGATGGCAGGCATTAGTACAATATCCTACATCTCTGCAGATCGTCCGTGGCGGCTCCAAGCCGGTCCTGGTCGACTCTGCCGAAACCTCAGCGAAAGGCCCCTTTGGATAGCGCCTGGGAGAAGAAGCGCTGGATATTTTACCCGGCCCGTGGTGATATGCAGTCACGCTAAGGATGACAGCTTTAACATGGACGTGTCCCAAGTTGCGGCGAAGCTCACACCCAAAACGAAGGCAAGCAAACTTGCGACGAGAACGTACCTGGAATCAAGACTGGCAGGCCATCCTGTGCGTTCACACGTACCACTTCCCTGTCGACATGGAGCCAGCCTCCCGAAACGAACCTGTCGTGCCATGTGTTTGCATGGGCTGGTACGTCTCCAATCGGTGGTTGCGGTGTACTGCCGTTGAAGCGGGTGTCCATGACATGGTGTCGAGGCCAATCATGGCTCTTGCGAAGGACACGTTCGATGTTGAGCGACATGTTCTGCTCTGAGGCAATTGGCTTGCAAAATCGTATGTTCAGGAGAAAGGCCTCAAAGTCATCGAAGATGCCGCAGAAATGATTGGCCAGTGTGGTCCTTAACACTTCATGGTTTAAGATCTCATGCGTTATCTACGACGTCTTGTTGAGGACCTGCGCAGGGAAGCCTTGCGGCTCCTTTGGTGACATTAGCACCATGAGCTTCTACCCCAACAAGCACATCACAACAGGTCCGTGCCAGCGGGAAGAAGCTGAGCAGCTAAACCTTGACTGCGAAGTGTGCAAAACAGCATGAGGGCCACGCGGCGACGGTAGAATTTTGCACTGTGCTTGGAGGGGCCACGAAGCAATTACGAGGGCCACACAGCAGATTGTTTTCAAGCTTCATACCTCGGTCATCTGCTGAGAGACCCGTGCAGTGCTGTCTTTGCAGAATTTTGCTTACACCTTGCTTGGTTGCAATCCTTGGGTGTTGCATGCTATGTCAGAGTCAGAATGGAGCTATCTTTTGTTTGCCGATGCTTGTGCTCGTTTGGCATCTGCAGGTGAGGGTGGAATGGTTCTCTGTGATGATCCTGACTTAGCAGATCGGCGATGACCTCAGCCTCGTGCAGCACACGGGGAGCATCAACAAGCTGACAAACAGAGCCTGCAGAGGGACGGCACTCTGAAGCAAAGAGAGGTGTTCTTTGCATCTGTTCCGGGGCTGGGGAGTGTGGCTGGCTTCTCGGTGTCGTGGCTTTTCGCTGGTCCCTTGGCTGCTTTTGTAGGTCTTTTTGCCTCGTTAGTTTCTGGCTTTTGGATTTCCTGACCCCTTGAACTGAAGACATTGAAGTGCGGGTGACGGCGACGTCGTCGTAGCAGTCGTACGAGGATGAGGAGGAGGGAGAGATTCAAATTTAGGGTTTCCGGAAACTCACATCCGGATGTTTTCAGTTAGACTCCTAGTCTTGTTGTGCTAATCGATACTAATCGCGAAGAGGACCTGGTTTGCCAGTATGAGCAGACGCATGTTTCACAGAAGTGATGGCACCGGTTGTAGAGCAGATGCACAATGCAAATCCCCAATGCCTTGATCACTGAGCAGAAGGATGAATGATCTGGATCATGGTTGTGCTGAAGAAACTGTGTTCCCTGAGGTGCCGAAAGCTGCGAAATCTGTGCTTCGATCCCAAGAAGAGACGTTTCGTGCATGAGGACATCAGGACAGGAGTTCCAGTTTTTCAGCTTCACAGTGCCGCTCTCAAGCAGGAGCTTGGATGGAATTACAGAATGACCAACCTGCAGGTAGCCTGTGAAATTCAAGGCGGAATATTGCAGCATTGACATCGGCAGGCTGCTTTAGGGCTGGGGCAGCTGGAATTCTTGGATTCCGCCGTGCTTCGCAAGCGAGAGGCCAAACCACGACACATGGGATCAAGTGAGAGAGGAGCTGTCCTAGACTTCTTCTGCAAACAAGAGCAGCTGGAATGCTCACCATGAAGCAGAAAATGTTTCATGCACACACAAGGCAGTCTCACGCAATCTCACAGTGTGCCAAGTTGGGTGAAATTAGGCTTTGCTTGACTACTTGGCGGATTTGTGCCGTTGAGAGGATGAAAGCAGCAATGCCAACTTATAAGAGAAGGCAGGCCATTGTCGCTGCCAGCCCAAATCTTGAACACGCAAAGCTTACCTTGGGACCGCCTTCACGAGTCCTCGTCCCATGGTCTGTGAATGCATGTGAGTACCTTTTCCGAAGGCTCTGCAGGAGTGCAATGTCTCGTATCACGGCATGATGCCGGTGAATCCTTCACGAAAGGATCCACATGTTCAGGCGTGGCAGCCGGAGAAGTGGGAGCAGTCTCCGGGTTCGCACAAGCGTCCTTCGGACAGCAGCACCCTGGATTCGTGACCCATCGCAGACCGAGCTAGCCAAACTAATGCCGTCTGTCTCGACCCAACTGCACAACACAGCAAGCAATGTATGGGAAACAACGCGACCACCATCGCCAGTTGGGTCGGAGTGAGACCCTCAGAGCATCGCAAACCTTCGGCCTAAGTCCATGGAGGGGGGATTCTTTCGGTCTTTCTTTTTTTTGCTGGGGGGGTCCCTTCGAAGGCAATTAACGAAGGAAGGAATGCCGGGAGAAAGAAAGCAAGGAAGGAAGACAGGAGGGAGGGAACAGAGGAAGGAAGGAAGGAGAAAAAAGGAAGCAAGAAATGAGGTAAGAAAGATAAGAAGGAACGAACAGAGAACCCCGGAAGGAAGGAAGGAATGCCAGGAGAAAGGAAGGAAGGAAAGAAGGAAGGAAGAGAGGGAGACAAAAATGAAGCAAGAAAGGAAGGAAGGAAGATAAAAAAGGAACGAATGGAGAACACCGGAAGGAAGGAAGGAGAAACAAAGGAAGCAAGAAACGAAGGAAGGGAGACAAGGAGGAAAGAGCGGAGAACCCCTACACCCTCAACCCTAATCCAAGTCGTACGAATCATACTACTACTATTAATAATCATCACCGTAAGACCAAAATACAGTCAGCAACAACAACAACAACAACAACAACAACAACAACAACAACACGCACTACATCCATAACAAAAACAACAAAAACCATAACAACAACAACAACAACAACAACAACAACAACAACAACAACAACAACAACAGCACCACCGACAACAACAACAACAACAACAACAACAACAACAACAACAACAACAACAACAACAACAACGACAACGACAACGACAACGATCACTACAACCACAACAGAAACAACAACAACAACGACAACAACAACGACCACTACAACCATAACAAAACAACAGCAACAACAACAACAACAACAACAACAACTACAAGCATAACAAGAACAACAGCAACAACCACTACAACCATAACAAAAACAACAACACCACCACCAACAACAACAACAACCACTACAACGATAGCCATAGCAGAAACGACAATAACAACAACAACCACTACGGCCATAACAAAAACAACAACAACCACTTCAACCAGAACAACAAAAGCAACAACCACTACAACCATAACAAAAACAACAACAACCACTACAACCAGAACAACAAAAGCAACAACCACTACAACCATAGCAAAAACAACAGCCACTGCAACCATAACAACAACAACAACAACAACAACAACAACAACAACAACAACAACAACAACAACAACAACAACAACACCAACAACCACACATCCAGAACAACACAAATAACCACCACTACAGCCATAACAGTTGATTGGACGCTGAGCGAGTGGGCTCTGCTCATAGCGGGCTCATCAGAAACTTCGAGACGTGCCGTAAGCCAGCGCCGCCCCTTAGTAGCTGACTTGCCGACATTCCAATAGAGGTAAAGCGGCCTTAAGACGGAGACAGGTTGTAGCTGTCGAGCTCGAGGGGACTGCCCTGCGGTCATCGCAGGCAGCTCCTTCCTCAGTTTCTGGAGCAACGAGCCAAACTCCTTTTGCTCCGAGGCCTCGGACTAGCCAACAACCTTAACAAAGACACAGAAGCCTAGCTAAAAGAACACAGAAGGCCGTTCAACCTCTATGGGATCCTCAGAGAAGGAAAAACAGGAGCCGTAGCTAGAAACAATCGAAAAGTAGGGCCTAGGGGAAAAGAGTGTCGCTGCATACTGTACAGTGCAGCAGCAGCTCTTTGAACAATTGCTACAAGGAGGCAGGTCGCTGGACTTTGCCAGCAGTTCCCCAAGCGTTGCTTGCGCTTCCTCAAGTGACAGCTAGGCTCACAGCTCTTGGTCATCTGACCTCCGTCAACCTCAGTGTGAGTCATTGTGCCCAATACTCACGAACTGGCAGCCGGCGGGTCGTACTTAGAAGAGCCGTCTCCCAGAGTTTCCGTCTAGTGGCGTCCCACACTAGGTAACTCTCGACTACCAGCGATGGGCTGTAAGGATGGTTCGTCGTCAGAGGGCAAAGGCCGTCACTCCTAGCACTGCCTGACCCCGTCGGTAGCAGGACAGTAACGAACACATTTGGGAGGGCCGTAGCCGTAGCCCGACACCCATAGCACAGCAAGCGCGTCCGCTCAGCGACTGTACCCAGATGTGACGTGGAGCCGTGCCAAGGTAGACAGCGTGTTGGGACTGAAGACGTAGGCCTGCTCTTCTGAGCCTGAGTCCACGGTGTCCTAGTCTGCGCCTTGTCTTGAAAACAATTCTGGCCCGGCGGCCTGTGGAAAGGCCTCCCGCTCAAGAGGGGATAGCCATCCCAGGCCTTCAAAGGCACCCCATATGTCGGGGCCAGCATTGGGAGGATGCTGTCGAGGCCGTGTAGTGGCACCCATCCTTTCTTGTGTCTGACTTATTCCAAGGCGCTTGTTCAACTGCAGTGCTGCGCAAAAGGTTCTCAACGGTAGCTGAGGAGTTTGATCGCACTGTTTTTGTCGCAGCTGGCGGCAGTCTACCTTGCCTTTGGAAAAAGGTGTAGAGTCCAAAGCAGACTGCGCAACATGCACAGGCGACCCGGGTCCTTCTTGTAAAAGAGTGCGCGTGGAAGCGCAGAACCAAAGTGCCAACAAAACTGCGTAGAAAAAAAGCTTCAGCAGTCCCTGGGTGTCTCGTCCAGAAGTGGAAAAGTCGAAAAAAGGCAAGGAACGAGGCCTCGTCTCGACAGCTTCCTGCTAGGCACCCAAGTTCAGTAGACGGCCAACTGGCGACTGGAACAGCTCCTTGGTTTGCTTCGTGCTGCAGGACCTCTTGTAAACAAAAGAGCTTCGGCGGGAGAAAAACACTGAGGCACAGTCGGAGCGCCATCCGCTAGTTTCGCAACACTAGGTGTGACCCGAGTGCTGCTCCTTCCACCGCGCGGACAGGTGGAAACCCTACCGCTTACCTCCAGCTTGTCCAGAACTTGCTGTCGCGGGAGGCCCGGGAATTGGGACCCGGCCGTCCACAAAGGCACGAAGCTCCGAGGCACACTCAACAGGTTCAGGCAGAAAGAAAGACGTCCCGTACGCTTCGCAAAGGAGCCTGTTGCAGAGCTTTAGAGTTGCGCCCAAAGCCCGGTTAGCACAGCTAAAGTGCCTTCTGTGAACCGTAGCGGCTACAACCATAACAAAAGCAACAACAACAACAACCACTACAACCATAACAAAAACAACAACAGCAACAGCCACTACAACCATCACAAACACAAAAACAGCAGCAACAACAACAACAGTAACAAAAGCAACAACAACAACCATTACAACCACAACAATTGCAACAACAATAACAACAACAACAACCAGGGCAACCAAAAACAACAACAACAACAACAACAACAACAACAACAACAACAACCACTACAACCACTACAACCACTACAACCATAACAAAAAACAGCAAGAACAACAACCCGTACAACCATACCAAAAGCAACAACCACTACAACCATAACAACAGCAACATCAGTAACCACCACAAACATTAACAACGACAGCAACAGCAACAACGACAACAACAACTACAACCATAACAACCGTAACAAAAACAACGGCAACGACCACTACAACCATAGCATAAACAGCAACAACAACAGCAACAACATTAACAACAACCACTACAACCAGAACACCAACAACAGCAACCACCACTACAACCATAGCAAAAACAACAAGAACAACCACTACAACCATAACAAAAACACCAACAACAGCAACCACCACTACAACCATAACAAAACCAACAACAGAAACACCAAGAACAACTACTACGACCATAACAAAACAACAACAGGAACCACTACAACCACTACAACAACCAACAGCAACAACCACAACCATAACAAAAACAACAGCAACATCAACAACAACAACAACAACACCAACCACAACAATCACACAAACCACAACAACGACAACAACAACACCAAAAACAACAACAGCAACACAACCACGACAATGATGATATGAATATCAACAACATCTACAAGTAGCCCACAACGACAACTACAACCACAACCCACAACAACAACTACAACTTCAACAACAACAACAACAGCATCAACATCAACACCAACAGCAACAACACGAACACCACCACCACGCAGAAACAACACCAACACAACCACAACCACAACCACCAAAACAACAACCACAACAACAACAACTACAGTTACAATTACAGCTGCAACTACAACGACAACTACGGATTAAACTTCAACTAAATTACGTTTTCAATTTCAACTACAACCACAATGACAACAACAGCAACAACAAGTGTAAATGACAGACGTCAACGAGCAGTGAACACCGTACCACAGCAAGAGACAACCGCAGCCAGCACCTTGTGCGGAAAATGGGACGCAAGAGCCAGAAATCAAATCAGCGAGAACTGTGCACGGCACCACGGCAGGGCGACACATGCAGAAAGGACCGAAAAAAACGACCGAATTAAAACTCCACCCTCTAAGTCCGTTTACGCAGCCAGCACCACATGGCGGATTAGTACTGCCAAGCGAGCAACATAGAACATCATAGAACATAGTTGAACCATGTTGCGACCGCAGCAAAAATCGCGCCTTTGTCCGGCTACCCGTCTTCCCCTTGCTCCCAGCTGCTTGAAGCGGGAGAGATACACAAAGTACTGCGACCACACTGGCTGCCAGCCTTCCGAGTGACCTAGTGCTCCAAGTTCCACCGGAAAGCACGATGCAACTTAACATTAGATGATTTCGTTGGTACCAATGAAAACATAGGGCACATCGTGGAATCGTGGGAAGAGCCCTGCAAAATGCCCCCGCCGGCTGTGGGCACGGGAGCAGAGACCAACTTTGAGGACCAACAACTTAGGGCTCGGAGGGCACGTCTGCAGTACGAAACCTCTGGGCCGCCTTTTCCAAGACACATGCCTATTATCGCTCGCGGCATCCGAGCAAGAGGTGGGCAATCCGGGCAACCAGAGACCCAGCAAGGCATGATCGCACGCATCATTGGCATGGTGCGGCGGATGATGCACTTCACAGCGGAAGGGCACCGCATAATCAGTTGCAGCAAACGGGGAAAATGTTATGACTTTTCAGAAAGGGGACCGGGGCAAACTGCAGCTCAATGCCCAAGGCCGCGTGCTATAATAAATTTATCAGATAGTTGAGAGATAAAGCATTCCGTTGCCTTCATGCTCTTAGCAGTAGTGGCACTGGATGGCTATGAGCGAGAAAGCAATGGCGGTGGAGGAAAGTTGAGAGCCGCAACAAGAGGGAGACAGAAGGAAGACCTGCATCACATGATGCAGAACTACTCCAGCAGTGGACGCTACACACCAAGGAGAGACGAAGTGCATGGGAAGCTATGCTGAGACGAACACCATCCTATACCGCCCTGCCAAGACATCGAAAGACAGCAGCACGGACGGGGGGTGCTTGCTACAGGCAGAGGAAACCATGTCGGAAGCAGTACAGCAAATGCAGAGGGAAACTTCTGAAAGTAGTTGTGCCCTGTGGCTGGCACGGGCGGGACCCCATGACTCACCCATGACGTAGCAAACTCTTAGCACGTCGGACAGCGTATGAGCCATCATTCAACATCCGGAAGGGATGGTCATGCCTGAGGCACGGGGGCTTCAGCAACTGACCCCAAGTCCTGCAGAAAAGACAGAAAAGGAAAGCAACTGGGCGAGTCCGATGGCCTAGGTCAAAGCTTGCTTGGATGTGTTGGAATTTCAGAGTTGCTCAGATGCTGTTCCGTGCGAACTTGCGTGACATGCTCATGTCATTTGCAGATTGGGCAGCTTTACGGCACATTGCTGAAGGGCTGTCCAGGTTTGGTCTTGCCTCCTGCGTGCAGCTGAGCTTTCTGAGTCCGGCTGGCAGACGGTCACCCGCTATGATCTTCAATTTAGGATGTGAACCACAAGAACGAGAAGAACATTTATTGGGTCTACGGAGCCTGCGTCTGAGAGAATGTTTGACGAGAAGGGTGTGTGTGTAACTTGTAACTCTTCAAGCTTGACACAGGTCGAGCTGGAGGCTTCAGTGGCCGCTGACGCAGAGGAAGCCATGCGGAGACTTGCAGATGCCAAGGTTGGCACGAGGACAGCTGCCGCAGCCATGTTGCTTATGTCGTCCCTGCATAAACGCAACCTAATGCAAGTGCCCCGACACAGACCATTCTTTTGGCCGATGCACGAGCAGCCGGTGTTTCTGCAGAAGGGCATGTTCGAAGGCAAAGCCGGGAAGATGAGGTGTTGTGGGGACGCTGTGTGCACGGGGCCTGTTTCAGGTCTCACCTTCCCCGTGGCCGAGCGAATTGCCAGGAGAGGTTTCTACATACCAAGTGGTTCGTGCCCCGGCTCGGTGCAGTTCTAAGAGTCTACTTCTAAGTGTGATGGGCAACACACACGGGAAACTTGTGGATCGGCCGGTTCCGCTGTGCCGAATCCAGTAACATTGAGTTTATCTTTCCCGATGCTGGCGGCGCAGGGGCACAACATGGGCGACAGAATATTCAAGCCGGGGTACTTGCGATGTGTCATCCTGCTGTCGTGCATTGCTGGGGTCCAACGAACCCGAAGCCTGCAACCGTGTCAAGCCCAAAGCAGTCCAATCGGAAGAGCGGATATATGGATGCTTGGGCGCACTTCAAAGAATCACCTTGAAATTTGGTATGGCGGTGACACGCGGACACGAGAACGAGACGGCCAAGCCTGCGGGGATGGAGGCCGCAGTCGCTCGTTTGCGTAACATCATAACATCTGCAAACAGATAGTCAGGGGCGTTGCTGCAGATACTGGGAGGCTCTGTCCTCATCCGAGCTTATTGAGCCACGAGTATGATCAAGTCTGCACGGCTTTGGAATGCGGATCGTTCAATCGGCGAGCTGCATGAAAGCCGTCAAGATCTTCGAAGTCCATGCTCTCCTTGGAGGTTTTGTGGGTCAAAACTGCAGTCCAGCACACCCGCCTTTGAGGCCTCGCATTGACGGACGCGGAGGTCAAGGAGGCGAGGTGAAGCGGTGCAGATTTGCAAATCACACGTCGCTGAGAAGCCGGTACGGCGGTACGGGTGTCGAGGTCGCGCGCCGCGTTCGAGTGGTACGCTTCTCAAGCCTCCGTGATCTTCGATGTCTTCTCTATGACATGTCGAGCATGTGACTGCGACCCGGTTGGCGAAGGTTATGGAGGGGTTGTCCAGCTCAAGTGAGGGGCTGAGCAATGTACTTCAATTCTTCTTGATGGTTCAGTTCTTGGGATAGAAGAAGTGTTGCATGTCATGGAGCGCCGGCAAGGCTGAACGAAGTCGGGGGCGGCTTCTGCTGAGAACACTGGCTTGGCTTTTGGCCATGCTGTCAGTACTGAAAATCACCGCGTGCCGTCTGTTAGAATGGGAATCCATCGTCAGTCGCAGCTCAGTGCGCTCATTCAAGAGATAGCCAACTAGCTGATGCCTTTGATGGTTGTTTGATGTTTTGTGTACTGAGTCTTGATGACGCCGTGGTAACTCACTGTTGTTGTGCTTTTGCTGCTATGTTTTGCCAACTGCGGAAAGCTGCTGAGATGTCAGAGGCTGGGACACATCCATTCATTGACATGTCGCACTCACACAGTCCCGACTCAACACGAAGCCACTACCAGACTGCTCAAGATGTCCATTCGATGTCCCCGATGCGAGTTTTAATGCATCGCACAAAGCCGTGTCGTGGAAGGATATTCTGAACACTCTGCTCGCCAAGCTGCAACGAGAGCTCTCGTTGAGTTGCTTAACACATGTGTTTCAGGAGCTTTTGGTTGGAAGTGAACAGTATTTGATTGTTGATTGTCCAGCACGAAATCAGACTCTGTTCCAGGTTCCTCGGCTGGTTGAGCCACCGGATTGTGTTGCTGTTTGGCAAGGATCATTTGTCATGCCTGTAGGTTCGACACTTGAACACATCTAATTCCAAGCTGGAGCAGTTGTCTCCTTGGATGCATCTAGCCTGCCAGCACTGCCAACGCTGCCAGCAATGCGGATACTAGCACTACATATTTGGATGCTTTCGCACATTGAGCCATGGCTCTGGCTAAAGGCTACCCTGGTGGCCCCGGAAAGTCTTCCACGTGGAAGGTTGTGCACACCAGGGTTATCATCCGCAAGACCCCCAGTACGACGGCCAGCATCATGGGCTTTCACGCACAGGGCAAGACTGTAGAAGGGGTCGTCCAGGAGATTGCAGGCCAGCCTTGGCTGAGAATACCGCATCCTGGTCCGGGCGGGGATGGCAAAGAGAGTGATGGGTACATGCTGATAGATGGGACTTCCGTAGGTCTTGGACGGCTATTGGAGAGGGTGCAGGGCGCATCGGCTGAGCCAAAGGCGAGGGTGCAAAATCAGGTGCCAGCGCCGAAGCAGAAAAGCCGTGCAAAACCGAATCTGGGAGACTTGAGCAAGTGGATTCGACACGCCACAGCACCAACGTCGCGTTTTGAAGTGGTCGTGAATATGGTCATGGTCCGCAACCTGCCCTCAACCCAGGCAGATGCCGTTGGTGTCGTGAAAAAAGGTGAGATCCTGGACGGCGAACCGCGTGAAGGTTGGCTTCTACTGCAAGAGAAGAGCCCTATGAGCCATGAGGCACTGGAGCAGGGTGAGGGACGCTGGATACTTCTCGACGGCAAGGAGCTGGGTCTCGGTCAACTTTTACGCCCTCAAATTCCCGCACCGAAAGTGACGAAAGCTTTTGCGACTTCCGTTCAACTGAGTTTTCCGACGGACATGAGCAAGTACGATCTCGAAGTTGAGTGTGAGATTGGCGAATCTTTTTGCACACCATGCAGTCAAGGCCGAATTCTAGACGCATCGTAGCACCCGGCACAGATGAGATGGACTGCAGCACTGGAGGGTGTGCAGAGTGGTCCCGTTTTTGTTGCAGGCAAGTCAATGCTTGTCCACGGTTTACATCCTTGCTCCGATGTGCCCAAAGCTGCAAGACTGCCAGGTGCAGTGCCAGGGTTGGTAGGGGTTGAAACGATGTCAGGTACGCCTCAGATTTGTCTACCGGGGCAAGGACCGTGCAACACTGCTCGTGCCGTCAGCCGTGACGCTGCGGCATGCTGCGGCCCAGGATGGAGCAGCCGGAGAGTGGGAGGTCGTGGAAACGACCGATGTCCCAGATTGGGAGGAGATGCCGAGCACAATTCTGCTCACCCCTCCTAGGTCCTAGGTGTGATGTCGTTGCATCGCATGCAGGAAGCAGATGGTCCCTGCATAGATCTGCTAGGCTGCTGGCCTTAATGGCAGTGTTGTGGCCTCTTCTGCTTTCTCCATTCCGTCTCCCGCTCTCTTCTTCCATGTCCCTGCCTTCCCTTCCTTTGCCTCACTCCCCTCTATTGCATCCTCATGTGTGTCCTGTCCGAGGCAACAAGCGCGGCAGCTGTCAGCAGTGTTCATGCAAGTGCTTTGCGAGACGGTCCTGTTTATGATGAACAGCATGACTTTGCTTGCTTAGCAATATGAAGGGCTGGAAGGGTTGGACCGTGTGTGTGCGTGTGTGTCTGTGAGACGGAAGCATCAGTTTAATCGCAGAGATAGGCCGATGCAGCGGGACGGATGCTGTTCCAAACTTTTTCGCAGCTTCATCCCTAGGCATGTCAATCCGTGCTCACGAATCCCAATAGGCCGTTGATACTTCTGTTCAGCTCCTTTATGCTCCTCTATACTACGAACGAATCGACCCTGGCTTGGAGTGGGAACGGCCAGGCTCTGGAAGAGAACGTGGTTTCCTTGAACATGGCCCGGCCGCCACAGTCTTCGCAGCGTCGCAGTTGCTGTAGTGCTCAGAGCCCACAGCCAGGATGTGGGAGACGCCCGTCCTGTCCTAAGCTTCCAAGTGACCTCATGTGACCCCATGGAGAGCCGCTGCTTTCGAAAGGCTGCGCACGATGTGGCTGCAATGTGGCCGCTCATGCTTTGTGGCCCTTAGCTCATCTGGCCTGGCGGCGTGGCAGCCTTCTGGCATCCCTTGCGGCGCCCTCAGGCAGGAGAAGGTGCCACTCAAGACCAGCGAGAGTCCCACCTCCCAGAAGCCGGTTGCTAAGCAAGGATGATCTCGTCGGCAGTGGCTTGTAGCTTGCTTCCAGCCGGCAGCAGCTCGCAGTTGATCCAGGCAGAAGCCACCGAAGCAGGCTGAAGCAAAGCCAGTGCCCGCCGCTCCGGTGGAGTCAACCGTTGACAAGGCAGGAGCGTGAAGCTGCGAAGCGTTGGTCAGCCTATCCGTTGCTCAGGCGATAGCCTTGCCGAAGGACTTCGGAGGCCGTGCCGCCATGCCGTGTTCTCTCTCTCAGATGAATGCAGGAGACGATGCTGCGTCGATGGCGGCGTTTGGACGTTAATCCTTCTGAGGACAGCTGAAGCTGACCTTGAGAGATTTACTGGGTGCAGTCGCTTTCGCTGTCGTCAGGCTTGGCCGAGGCTCCAGAAGGAGTTCTCCGAGGCTTCTGCCGCCGGCGGATGTTCCTCTGTTCTGCTCGCGTCGACGGTCAGGTCGTGGTGTGGAGCGACCTGCACTCCGACATGGGTGACTCGACTGAGTACTTTGCATTGCTGTGCAGAAGTGACAGTGCTCTGCGTCCTCTTGCAAAGGTAAAAACATGACTCATCTCAAGCAGCTCCCGATTTGCCAGGACCGTGTTTCTTGAGTATACTGTTGTTCGCTTCAAAATTTGGACACGACGTGGTCATGCTCAGCAGCTGGGCCGAGGGCAAGACAGAAAGGAACATCCAGAGCCAGCAGTTTGGGATATGCTTTAGCACAAGGGATGTTTCTCGGCCAGCGGCAAGAAGCAAACCTGAATAAGATGCCTGTGCGGAGTTGAACCTTCCGAAGTCGATGACAGTTGTTGAGTTGCCAAGTATGGGAAATACCAGGAGGACAGCACGCCAAGACGGTCTCAGACATTCTTCTTGGCGTAAACCGGATCAAAAGGTGGGATGGAGGTAGGTGGGATGATCCCAACTAGGCAACTGGGAGAGCTTTCACAAGGGATCCTTCATCCTACCTCTTTCGAGGTCCTTCGGTGCGAAAGCTTGAATGATCTCATTGCCGAGCGGTGCGATGGGCAAAGAGTCCTTGAACTTGAATCCGGCGCATGTTGGATTTGTGGCATTAAGAGAGTGTTAAGGGCTGCTCAGTTGCATGAAGCACTGGCTGGCTGGCTGGCTGGCTGGCTGGCTGGCTGGCAGGATACAGTTCTCTTACTCGCGGGAGATATTGCATCCAGCTTGGAGGCCCCGATTCTGGCTTATGCTGTCAGAGCCGGTGCAGTTGTTTTGAGACTTTGGACTGTCACAATGCTGGCGAGCGAAGAACCGTGAGCCAGTAAGCTGCAGCTCGAGCAGGTCATCGAAACGTCGTTTCGACTGCTGCAGGCCTCCCTAGCGTTCTCGGCGTCGTGCAATTGCCGAACTTGCTCATACTCGTTCCAATCTGTGCTTTGGAGGCAAAGTTTGGAGCAATTTTCTACGTTCCTGGCAACCACGAGTGCAGTTCTCGGGCAGCGTTTCAAACAGTTCCACGGATGAGATATGTTCGTTTATTATTCAGGCTCTGGGTGAGCAAGAAGGACGGCTTGTCATCCGTGCACAAGTTCCTCGCGATATTGGAGGCTGAAGCGTGCTGCACCTTAGGCGCAATTCTAGCCAGTCTCCCAGTGCTAGATCTGCGAAGAACTTGGCGTGCACACCAGGCCAAGACCTGAGTCGACTTCTAGACCTCACGCCACGGCTTTGCACCGCCGGTTGCTGCTGCAGGCCTGCTTTCATCAACTCAGACTGTGCTGTGTGCCCGCTGTTCTCCTGGTACAAGGACCGAACTCAGGCACTGCTAGTGTTTGAGGTAACGGCGTAGCGTCGTTGAGCCAACAACTCCCAATTGGTGCTGAATCTCTTGCGTGCTGAGCCCTGGCCGTCAGTCTGCACACTCGCACGATGACTCTGGCTGCGATACGGTGGGGTCTGAAAGGTGAGGCGGCGCGCTGACAATGTTGCAGCATGTTTGCCGAGAGCCTGCTAATCGATCGAAATTGGATTGGTTGCCGAGCAGCTGAAAACGTACAGAGGTATGCTTGCATCTAATTGTAAGCAGTATTCTGTGTTGCGATTTTGATTACACTAGAGGTAGCGGTTTCCCCTGTTTCCGTTGCCTATGGTGCCACAGTCGATGTTCCGTTTCGAACCGTGTCTGCAACCTGCCCCTGCAAAAACAAAGGCAATCATGCAAATCAGCATTACCCGCCAGCTGCTTTTTGCCATGTTTGAGATGCAGAATTGGCGTGCACTTCGAAAACTTGCCAGAGTCAGGAAGTATATATATGTCGAGGGCCACGGACAGACAGTTTTTGGGTGTCAATTCCTTCTTGCTCTGTAGCTTCCGGTCTGGTTCGGCACGTAACAGGACATTTCGGCGTTGATCCTTCAGATTACACCCAGGAACTCGTGTGACAGCGGAGGAATGCTGGGGATGCCAGGATGACTAAACTGAGAGTAGATCAGCCAGCGGCTACGCATGTCCAGCGCATGTGTTGCAGCTACAGGACAACCTGGTTGATGGGTGAAGCTCCCAGACACGGCAGAGCTGCTCCTTGCTCCACAGATCTCCAGAGTGTGCAACATGTGAGATTTTCTCGCAACTTGGCGGACATCCCCTTCGACATGCAGACTCAATGGCCGTGGGACATAACGGGACGTCTGCTCCTCAGCGCAGAGCTCCGGCTGAAATCAACATCAGCAAGGACAGCAGAATCAAGTGTGCTCATTCAGGCGGGGACACCAATGATGCGCAACAGCCCGAAATTGCTGACTTCTTCCTCTCGCATTCGCCTTACTTTTGTGAAGCTTCTGCGAGTTCACAGATCGCGGCGGGCATCCCGCAAGGTTAAATCAGCGGCGCATCGCTGCAGCACCCTCGGCCGTGCCATTCTTGGACTTCGGCCAGTGAAGCTTTCGCTCCAGTCTTACTTGCACGCCTGTGCAAGGCTCTGGATGCCTTGAAAAGGGCAGAAGTCGTTGCGGAGGAAGCGAAACAAGCCGGCAGCCTTAGACGTAGTGCCAAGGCCTTTTTTTCGTCAGGATGAAAGCCTGCAGATTTGACAGATTGATACGCACTCACTCTCCGGCCAGATGCCGCGCTGAACAACTTCCGGAAGGGTACGCATCGGTGACTGAGGCTCAATTGGATGGCAGAGTCTTACCACCTCTGCCGAAAACGAAGGATTGGCAGGGAAAGGCATGAGTGGAGCGGATCTTCCTTGAAGCTGCAGCATGCAGGACGATGACGAGATCTTCGTTGTGACGATGAGTCACTTTGTGCCACGCCAGGCTCGCACAGCATTGTAATTTTGAATGCAGGTCAATGTCAGCGTGATGCAGCACCGAGCGAAAAGGATTCTAGCAAGCAGCAACATTGGGTAAAATCATATTAGGTCATCGCCTCAACGTCGCACGAAATCCTGTACAATATCTGTTGCTATGACCTGAGTGCGACCAACAAGTCTGCAAGCAGCGGCCACGGCAAAGTCTTAGAGCTTGCGTGCAACACAAGTGCCGAACAAGTCACACCTGTTTCCTGTGAGATTGCCGTGTTCTGAAGAAGGAATGCTATCCTGGTCCGCGACGACTCTGTATAGTGCTCAGTGAAGCTTATGAAGCGGCCTGTTGCATCTGCAGTGTCGTTTGTACAAAGGTGGCGTCATGGGATGCCGTGAAATTGAGGAGCAGGTTGCGCTTCCTCATACATTTTATCCGGCTACTCAGTGTCCAAATGCCAGGCTCGAGCCTGTGGCTCGCGTTGCCATGTTTTTGGACACTCGCACATCTCTTGCGATCGGCAGGCAGGCAGGGTAGATACTAGATGAGATAGCTCAAGATCTGGGCCATGGAGGTCGAGGGAGTTCGCTATGTGCAACATCCTCTCGGTGTTGGGCTTGTCTGTCTTCGTTTGTCTTCATTGCATGGATGCCATGTCCAGCGTGCTAGTTGATTCACATCTCCACGAGGCTACCCAAACGATTATCACAGACAGGGTGAGCCAAAACCTGCAACGGGCTCAATTAAATACCTTCAGGCTGCACATGTTGTTGCATGAGCCTTCTTGTATTGGCCGAATGATAGCATGCTGGCCGCAGACGAAGGTGTGGGGTGGCTGCAAGTCTCGTCAAGAAGCACCTTCCCTGACAGAGGACATGCAATCACGTAGGTTCGTCTGCATTGTGCTCTGCGTATTGCAGGAGCCAGCATCTAAGCTGGCCAAGGATATCGTGAAGGCACACAGACGCAGTTGGCTTGTTCAGACTCAGCTGATGCAAAGAGGCAATCCTTGATGATATTCGAAACTGTCCGGAAAAGTGCCTGGAGCGACCGCCCGGGCGATGGAACAAAGAGGAGCATCGTGACAAAACTCAGCGGCCTGCGGTGCCTGCGGTATTTCGTTGCTTTCTGTCTAGGGAGGAGGGCTCAACCAATGATTTGGCAGGACGGTGATAACTACAGCAGCCACAACATATTTGACCGGAAGGCCGTGGCAATGTGCAGTTGTACAGACACTAGCTGCGCTGCCACTTCGTTGTGGCCAAGTGTCGAAGCAGGAAGAAATGAAGCTTCGTGAGAGCATGGGCTACGATGCGAAGAAGATGGCGGAGACAGTCGGGTTTGTCGGCAACTACAGCAGTGAGAGAGATGCAGTTACGGTCGCCACGGAGCTCCTCAGTGAGGCAGGCAGTTCTCCTCCACTTTGTGTGTGCGTGGAGGAGCTTTGGAGCGCACCGCCGCCAGTCCGGGAGCTGGAGCTGGAGGCGCCCCGTCCCCGTTTGGGGCCACCCCACACCTTCGGCGGGCGCGGCGGTGAGTTGAATTCGGACAGGTAACCCATTTCCAACACGGAGACCAACGGCTGACTTTGAATCTCCCGAACAACCTTTTGGTGCGGCAGCTGAAGGCGACTTCTTTCACATCAAGATACTGTGAGAAGACTTCAACTTTGACTTTTTTTCCGAATGCGAGGAGCGCCTTGTGCAGGACGGGCGCCCCGATCATTTTGGACACTCAAAGCCTTAGTGCGAGCTGAGTTCGAAGGAAGTCGGCCGCGGGAATCCAGCAAAGATCGTCGTATCAACAAGTGGCGAGAACGCGAGAAACTTATAGCAGCATACAATAGCATCTTTCAATGCAAGGTGATTGTGCTGGCTTCGCAACTCCAGTTATCCGTCTATCTACACCATGCGCTATGACGTAAGGCACTCAATGATGATGTAGCCCTGAGCTCCATTGAATCGGAAATATCAGGCTGGTGCCGAGATTCTTGGTGAGTAGATGAGCAAACCACGACGAAGATGTTTAAGCACTGCAGGTGGACTGATTGTTATGGGCATCGACATGTCGAAGGGCAAGAGTGTGACAGTCAAGCTGAGAACTGAGCGTTTTCCATTGTTCTGATAAGCTTGCACTGAAGCTGCAGCTGCTGCCAAGCCTGCTTCGTGGCTGTGGCATCCACTTGGCCGAGGCTTGTCCATGCCGCATCGGATATACCACAAAGTTCACATCTCAGCCGTAGAGTCAGAAGACTAACAAATCTGAGAAAAGACATTTTTAGGTTTGACCATTTCCGTCTTGGACACGGCGACCATGCTCGACGTTCGGAAGGAAGCGATGATAAGGCCAAGATCTGTTGACATCGTTAATAGCGGTCGTCCAAGCCCGTACCGCGTCATTCGCAACCCAGACTTTTTGATTCGGCTTCGGCGTTTTGCCCGGAGGCTCGGTGAGAAGAGCATCAGTAATTGTAAGCTGGTCAAAAGCTCCTTCGGCCGCAGTGCTCCTGCAGTCTCGGGCAGTTGTGCTGAGATACTGCTTGTGTCACCCACCTTTTTCGCTTGGCTGAATCTTGTTTTCTTCTTGTGTGTCCGTCTGAGGACTCGCAACTGGCGGCTTCCAGGGCCTCGCAGACGGGGACCGCCTAAACGCCAAGCGGGAGCTGCTGTGCCTCGGCTATTCATGGACCAGGCGGCAGCAGGTGGTGGACGTCAGCCTTCGCGAAAACTCAGCGAGGTTTCTGGGCCGTGATCTCCCAGATTCGCCGAGTGCGCAGGACGTGATAGCCTTGCGAGCTTTCTCGATTCTTGATTTGCCTGGGTGAGTGGAGCATGTAGACGAACGAGTACGACCGAATTGATGGTAATGTGCGTGACTCTGCGCGTTGGCATCGGGGAGGTGTCTTGATTCTCTTGATGACGATTCTGTGATGATTGCCTGCATGCACGGTGTGTGTAGAGCGCTGTTCGCGAACAATGCACTTCGGATTCCACGCAATGTCGGCAAGGCATGCAGTCTCTGCTGCTTTCTACTGCTTTTGCCGCTTTTGCTGCTTGCTGGCCTCCCTCGGATCAGGGTTTTTAATCGGATCGCTTGTGGTTTGGAAGCGTGCAGGAGACCAAGACTAAGAAGCCACCTCCGAAAGAGAAGGAGAAGGTCACCGCCAAGAAGAGCACTACCAAGGCGAAGGCCAGCCCATGAATCCTACCTAAAACCCAAAACCTGGCGGTTCCTGTCTTGGCAACGAGCTTCCACTTCCAACAGGCTGACGTTTCAGTGCCAGAGGCTTTCGCTGAGCGACATGCTTGCGGCTAGCGAACTTGCTTTTGTACCTTTTTGCACTCGGCCGGATCTGCTGGAGAGGTGCCTACGGCACAGACCGCGAAAGGTGTGGAGCTTTGCATCAAGTGCTTTTTGCTGACTTTGCGCGTGTAAAGATAGGAGCTGTCTGTCCCAGGCCAACCGAAATCCGAACCACCAGGTGAGCGACTGGAAAGGTTGGCATTCTCCTGTCTTTGCTCTTGCAGCTTGAATTTGTGACGGTGTAGCTTTGTGCCACAAGATGCTTCTTGGATTGGAATGGTTGTCATGCCGGGTGGATTGTTGTATGAGTTTTTGGAAGGTTTCGGCTTTCGATGTCTCATGGTCACACTCGCTTCGAATATTTATTACAGATCATGCAGCTACGAGGACGATGAGGATGCCCACTGAGGCGTGCTCACGCACGGATCTGAACGCTGGGTTCGCATCCTGTTTGGGCCGTCATTCCCACGGCGCGAGAGATCAGTACCCATGGTCAAGACGACCTCCGTGCAATCTGCCAGTGGCACATTCGTTCTGGCCGGAATCGTTCCAATCTTCACAACTGCTAAGATCGGATTTGGGTTCGCCAATGATTGTCCTCAGATCCTGCATGCCACTTTGAAGCAGGATTTGTTTGTACTGCATCCTGCACTCGCCAGGGACTCACCACCACGGGAGATGCACGTGAAGGCAAGCTGGAGTAGATCTCATTGAATGAATAGAGATTCCTTTCTGGCAATGTGTACTTATCTCAAAGGCGTTATGAGCACAGCCTTGGAACATTCAAGGCAAAGTCGTCCCTACATTGAGTGTCCGTTAGTGGTGAGAACTAAAGAGCCGGAAGACACTACTGACGGCTCAACCTCACCTAAAGCTCACGAAACAGAAACCTTGTATCCCTTGAGTCCTGAAGCTGACCATACCTTGACAGGGTAACAGGTTACAGCATCTTACCCAAGTCTTAAGAACCTGGCACTTCTAGTCCCGAACCCTGTTTTGTCAGAGAGTATCCATGCGATATTTGATATTTATCTATATATGGTTGTGCGCTGTGCGTTAGTTATGCCCCCCCCCCCCGTCCCTTTTCCCATGGTATCCACCTCAAACACATGGGTTTGGAGCCTTCGATGCCTCTGCAGATTGCCGTGCTCCACAGAGAGCGGGGTTGGCGGGAGGGGACGAAGCTCGAGACCGCATCCGTTGGGCCCAAGCAAGCCTTTCCACGGGCGGGGAGGGGGGACGACCAAAGGGGGGGATACTATTGGGAGGGAGGGGCGAGGGCGTGGGGCCCGCTGGGGCGCAACCATATATATATATATATATATACACACATATCACGAAAGCTAGCTCTTTGGAGAGCTTGCGGGAGTTGTCGTCACAAATTGCTTCCTACACGTAGGTAGTTCCTTAAAAGGCCAAAGGATTTAAGGAGGGGGGGGGGTGGGGTCCCCCCCGCCCTTCTGTACTTGATTTAAGGCATTGATTTAAGGAGGGGGCCTGGCAGGACCCCCCCTCCCCCCTTTTCAAAGCCATACTTGCAAGCACAGCTGTTTGTATAGTGTCGATTTGTTGTTACTCATAGCCGTTTGTAGAGTTTAGAGTTGTTACCACTCATCACAAGCCTCCACCGTCCTGCTTCTGGCTTTTGTAGCCCTGCTCTCAAGTATATATATATATGTATATATGTATATGTATATGTATATGTATATGTAAATGTGTATGTGTATGTGCAGGTGTAGGTGTAGGTGTAGGTATAGGTATAGGTAAAGGTAAAGGTAAAGGTCAATGTATATGTATATGTATATGTATATGAATGTGTATATGTCTGTCCAGATATAGATACAGATACAGATATAGCTACTGTATAGATAGGGTTTTGGGCCATTTGAGGTTCGCAGCGTCTGCAGGAATGGGTTTGGGCTTCGTGGCCAGCAGTCGCCCCGAGCCCATAGAACCAGGCAGTAGAAATGGCATGCACTCAAATCCTTCGTCCCGCAGGCCCTTAGTCCTAACAGGATTCTTGAACAGCCCCGATGAACGAGGCTTTAACAATGTATTTGGCAAACCCTTAATTTTTGAACGAGCGGATGTTCACGCCCGGTGCCGAAATCCTGCTAGACTGGGGAGCGTCGAACACACCCCATTAATGAATATAGGCAAAAACGAAAAAGGGCATTGCGTGTATTTACCAGGTGTTATGTAAGCATAAATGCAAACATCCAGCTTCAAACATGTATTGAAATCAGACATGCTTCGTTCGGTGCCTCTCTGCGAAGCCTTCACGTGGGGGTTCTGACTTGGGGCATCGTGGACTCGACGGTGGGGTACTGCCAGCTTCCTGCTGAGGTGTGCTTCATGTAGTCAGGTTTGGTGGTGTCCTGGGGTTTGTGCTGTCATGGAATCATTGCTTTCCTACTTTTGACTTATGCATAAATCAAGTCTTCCACACACTTCGAGGTTTCGTTAGCCCGGCTCATGCAATGATAATGCTATTGCATTGGTGGGATCCTTCAAGCTAATTGTCCCGAATCTGAAGTGGTGTTCCATGCTTTTTCACTGCTCGTTTATTGCAGACAAGCAGCAGTCTTCCAAATGCTGATGCATATTCTATTTCTTTTCCGGTCAACGCAGATCACCAGCTTGCTGGATCCTGACCAGCAGCTGGAAATGGGAGTTGCCAGCGATTTCCTCGTTCGCGAGCTCAAGGATCTCGGACACTCGCGCTTGGACACGTGCTGTGCCGCTGTACCTCTGGCACACGGAAGGAGCTGATTGTAGCTGAGCTTGGACATGGTGATCCGTCGAAGATTTTGCTTTCCTCCACCGGGGATGATGTTGCTCGGCTGCACATGGCTGCGCGACAGGCACTTGGGAGGTCATGCAACACTTGAAGCAGGTTCTTCGAGATGAGCGGCCATTGGGCACCTACGAACGCGAGGTTTCAGGTTTGACGAATGTTTTTATCGAACATGTATCGAGCTGATCAGTGGCATCTCTCAGGTGGTCTGGTGCTCATTGGCATGGACTTGAAACGTCCACAGGAGTCCAAGCCGAAAGAGATCAAAGTGAAGACCTGTCCCCAGTAGCTGTTGTTGGGGTGTTGTAGAACTTCATGCCGTGTCCGTCGCTGCAATGAGGCTGGTGCATGCAACAGAAGCGGGACAAAGCCAGCTGCTTATTCGGAGCAGCGCAGTTTGAATCTTAAATGTGCAGGGCATTGCATCCATGTACTAGGCCATCAAACCTCAGCAGTTCTGACAGGACAACGTTTTCGGAGGGCATGTAAGAAGCACTTGCACTTGCCATGAGCCTCGATCTTGAGCTACAGGGTTGGCATAACACGGTGTTGTGCGTCATCGGCAACCTCCCGGCGGTGCATGGTTTGCTTTACATCTGACGCACCCCGCCTGTACATCGGGAGGAGGGTGTTGGCGGGCGGGGAGGACTGGTCAGCCCCATCCCCCCTCGCAGCAAACGAACGAGGTTTCGAGCGAGGTCAGACGAACTCGAAGGTTCGAGAGTTTGATAGCTTGAAGCTTTGAAGTTTGCAACTTTGAAGGTTGCAAAGATGCAGGATGGCGGTTATGTCATTTCTCATTTCCGCCCCTCATTAGGCGAGTGCGGTCGATCTCATATCACGCCACCCGCTGTGACACATTGATTGGCTGAGAGGTTGTTGAATCACCACACCGGAAACCAAACTGTCTCACCAGTACACGAGGATGCGTATTAGCTTCTGCAAAAGGCAGGTGTGCATTTTACAGGATGTACGTGTCAATAAGACAGGCCGGTAGTTGTCGAGCGAGGATGTGTCTTTGCGACCGTGTTTGACCAACCTGACTACCTCAGAAAGCGGTGACGTTTGTTGTGGTGACGTTGTAGTGTGAAACCAAAACATTTTGACGACACGTGGAGCACGTTTGATCAGTTCTACAGGGATCATGTCCGGCCTTGTGGCCTGACCAGTATGTAGTTGCTTACGGCATTGGCATCACTCTTCTTGGCTCTTTCAAGTCGCACAGGGTCTTGCGTTGACAGTCGTTCGTCGCAACTCTTCCGTACCTGCTGCGCGAGGTACTGGCACAAGATTTTGGGTCTGTGCTTAGTGGCATGAGGCTTCCCATGAAGATCCCTGCAGGAACAATTGTCGCAGACAAGGTTCATGCAGCTTAAGTAAAATTGTCCTTGGAGACGGGGTGCGCTCAGAGTTTTTTGGGAGACGAGTCTACCTTCCTGGCAAACGTTTTGCTACGTCTCTTGAAAGTGTTTGACATCCAGAGAAAGCACTGTTGAATCCCTGAGCGCATTATGAGGTCTTCGGCCTTTGCATACTCCCGATAATTGCCCTCGTGTCGACCCGGCCAGGTGAGGATATAGCTTGCGATGAGCCGGGTGGGATGTGCGGGACACTCCTCACACACGGTGGAGACGACCAAACTCCAACCTGCATTGGAACCGCGCTACTGACAGAACATGGAGAGTCAGAGTCGCATAATGCAGACGCGGTAGGGTACATTTTAGGTCCGGTTTCAGGCCCGGAATTCAGTCTTGCGGCGAGTACAAATGTAACGCGATGCAAAGACAACTTCTGCCGCAAGTCTGGTGTATTTCGGACGCAGTGGTGAGATTTAGGGTTTGAGGTTGCGTGTGAAAGATTCAGGGTCTGGGTTTTTGGACATCAGCGATCTCAGTCAGGGTTTAGGGTTTGGGATCTCAGTCAGGGTTTAGGGTTTGGGGTCGAGCCTTTAGTGTTTTTTTCTGGGGAACGGTCTAGGGTTGAGGGTTTTGTGGTTCTTAGCAATTTTAGGGTTTAGGGTTGGGTTGGGCCTTTAGGGTTTGGGATGTAGGATTTGGGGTTTTGGGCTTGGGGTTTAAGGTTTAGCGTTTTTGGGGCTCAGGGTTTAGGGTTTGGGGACTTAGGGTCGGTTCTTGGGGTTTGGGGTGTAGTGTTTAGGGTTTGGGGTAACGGTTTCGGGTTCAGGCTTTAGGGTTCGCGTTTTAGGGTTTAGAGTCTTTAGGGTTTAGGGTTTAAAGTTGGCTAGTTTCAAGAGTAATGCAAGCTATGGTTTCTGTATATGCTGCACGTGGAGGTGCGGTGTGTTGGGGCGGCATGGTGGTACATATGGGGCGGCCTTGTTGGTACGTATGGGACGGCTTGGTGGTACATATGGGGCGGCTTGGTGGTACATATGGGGCGGCCTTGTTGGTACGTATGGGGCGGCCTGATGGTACATATTGGGGCGGCTTGGTGGTACGTATGGGGCGGCTTGGTGGTACATATGGGGCGGCTTGGTGGTACCTATGGGGCGGCTTGGTGGTACATATGGGGCGGCCTTGTTGGTACGTATGGGGCGGCTTGGTGGTACGTATGTAATTCGCTCTTTGGTATAGTATGGGGCGGCTTGTTGGCACATATGGGCTGGCTTAGTGGTACTTTTGGGGCCCACATGCTGGCTTGGTGGTATACAGATTACTCTTGAAACTAGCCAATGTGGATGCGTGGTGGTGCAGTCGTAGATGTGATGTAAAGCAGCCTGGAGGTCTACGTCAGCTAAAAGTTCCGAATCTTGGATGTGTGCGGTCTGGAGTGAACCATCCTCGCCCGATTCCAGCAGCCACCTGTTCGGAGCCTGCTGCGTGTGCCGCACATATCGCAACATGAGCAGCAGCAGCAGCAGCAGCAGCAGCAGCATCAGTGCAGTGCAGTGCAGTCTGGTAGGGCGAGACATAGCCGCTGCAGAAGGCCTAAAGGACTATCCGACTGCGACAAAGACTAAGAATGTCCGAACTCCGAACATTGCGGGTTGAGCAGCGTTTGTATGGAAGTGCCTGCCATAGCTGGTGGGGCTGCGGCTGCAACTGGAGTTGCAGCCAGGCTGCTGCAGAGCACGCAGCTTCTGGCTGCCGGAGCCGAGCGGGATGCTGTGAAGAAACATTCGCGGCACAGCGCCTGCGCTTTGGCACGGGCAGGCCGGTCAGGTCAAGTGATTCACACACATATCGAAACCGAAAAACATGACTGCTATAAGTCTATAAGTGCTATCCCTCTTCGGCAGGAAAAGCATGCAAGAGAATGAAGACAAAGGGCCTCGATTTCATGCAGAGGTTCAGGCGCTCGGGTTCACGGCTGAGCAAATTGACACTACAGACTGCAAGTGAAGTCATTGAACTCGACTTGTTTAATCTGCGACTGACGACAGGAATCAGATGAAGAGATTCAATAGAGATCATGCGGTCCGCCGATCGGACACCATATGGGATGACAATGAAGATGTCCCGCAACGCAAGAGGCGTCATGACGGGAAAATCAAGGGACGAGGCAGTACAGTCGCATGATGAAAACACATGTATTGGCAAGTTTGTTTTATGATGGATAGGTAGGCAGCCCATTCTGTTTCTGATAGGACAACACAAGTCGTGGACAACGTCGGCGATCTTGCGCGTGTCGTTGGGAAGATCGACGGGCAGCATCATTGTCAAAGGCAAATCAGAGAATGTTTATCGGTTGCGCAAGCACCAAAGTACGTCACCAACGATGTGACTTTGTCAGCATCTGGCTTTGTGCGTTTGTTAACCAGCTAACTCATGACTCAGACTCAGACTGCGAGGTTTAGCCTCAACTCCATTGCCTTCTGGATGCGATCTGCGACTGGCACCATCACCAAGGCCCAGGCATTGCTGTGCTGTTATTGAATCAGGGCAGTCATAGGATTGACCGGACTGGCGCGTCATGCTTTATGCCAGCTCTATTTGGAGAAGCAGAAAGCAGGCTTCGACAAAGCGACGCAGGACAGTCCCTGTTGACGGCCCAAGATACCCATGCGGACCATGTGTGCAAGTTACCGTTACAGGAGTCTGCAAGATTCTTGGCTCTTCAGATCGAGTTTGATGAGACGGGGCAAATGCTTCGATTGAAGAACTCCATGACGAAGGAGACGACGACTACAATGTCGGTGTGGCCCGGTTCCCATCGCGCAGCCGCTGAGTCATACTAACATTGTTCGGATTTCCTCACTGAGGTTTCTCGATCAATGCTGCTAGCAGCAAAGCCAGACAGTGGACAAGTTGTCAGCAAGTTCGTCGTGGGCTTGGTTGCTGTCAGACGAAATGGATTAGCTCTGTTTTGTTGATTTCTGCAACATACGTTGCAGGTCTTGAACCCACCGGCTGTGCTACGACGCAAAACGTCCGCTTCCCTTTGGAATGCATTGCAAGCAACGCAGCCCGTGCCACCTTTGAGTGACCTGACTAGACTAGACATCACTTCTCAAGTCCAGCTAAAAGTGTTGCTTCGACAGGTTGTATCATTATATCAAGCGACACCCAAGGCATCGCAAACCATTGCGATTTGTTTATCCTGACGTTTGTGTGCGACTCGGCATCAGCTAACCTCTCGATGATCCGTCGGATTGCCGACGTAGCTGAGAAGAACACCTTGGTACCGCCGGCTTGTCATTTTGCATCAACTTGCAGCATGACTGCATGCCATGCTGTTGTTCTGTTGCTTGACACTTGACACTTAATAACACTTTAATATTATGGCCCGGCAGGTGGTGAGGCAACAGTGCTTGATGCCAAGCCCTCATTTTGTGATACTTTTCTTCGGATGCACGGCTTTATTTGATATAAGGCATCAAGCCAATTTGACAACGGAAGTCATGTGGAAGACTATCGGTGTGCTTCCTGAGCTGTGGCGTGGCTGAATTCAGTTGTGATTCGTCGGTGGCTTGAGCTATTTGATTGTGGTTGTGCTCAGTCGAGGTTCTCCTTCTCCTCCATTTGCACTCAAGGAATCTCGGATGCATACCCGTCAAACCACAATCACGATTCGTGATGCTGAGTCGAATCGAACTTAGCTTGAAGTTGACATAAGGCAGTCTTTTCTATGAGCTGTTGGTTCAATCGGGTGGTGGATGCCAACTTGAAGGTGGTATACGAGCCACCGTCGGAGGAGAATCAGCAGTATGCGCGAGAATTCATTAAAGAGGCTTTGCGACAAAGCCAGCAACTCAATGGACCCAGATTCCATGCACTGGCTTGCGGCAACTGCACTCGAGTTCTTCCGAGGCCCGAACCCTTCTGGCACTGGTGCCGAGGATGACCGAGAACATGATGCAGAGCTTCTTCTGATGATGGCCAATGGTGTCTGAACCCTATTCCCTATTGATCTGGTGTTGTTGTTGTCGTGGCTTCCTGTT